TTAGGCCCCTGCACCCATGTGGGAGACCCAGGAGAAGCTCCTGGCTCCTGGCTTCAGATTGGCTCAGCTCCAGACCTGACATGGCGGCCACTCTGCAGTCCTCAGGGGAGGCACTGAGAAAAGTTCATGGAAGACGGAAAAGCTGAGTTTATGGCTGGCGCTGCAGCTCACTAGGCTAATCCTCCGCCTTGCGGCGCCGGCACACCGGGTTCTAGTCCCGGTCGGGGCGCCGGATTCTGTCCCAGTTGCCCCTCTTCCAGGCCAGCTCTCTGCTGTGGCCAGGGAGTGCAGTGGAGGATGGCCCAAGTGCTTGGGCCCTGCACCCCATGGGAGACCAGGAGAAGTACCTGGCTCCTGCCATCGGATCAGCGCGGTGCGCCGGCCGCAGTGCACCAGCCGCGGCAGCCATTTGGAGGGTGAACCAATGGCAAAGGAAGACCTTTCTCTCTGTCTCTCTCTCTCTCTCTCTCTCTCACTGTCTAACTCTGCCTGTCCAAAAAAAAAAAAAAAAAAGATTTAAAAAGCTGAGTTTATGTCGGTGAACAACGGGGGAATCCGTGAATACGCACCAGGGGTCTTCAGAAAGTTTGTGGAAAGTGCGGGTTAGGAAAAGGCTGCGTGGATTTCAGAAATGTTGTGTACCAAAGCCGACTCCTCTTTCCTTGCCATTTCCCCATGAGCTTTTCTTGTGCACTGATGTCACAGAATGTGAAGTGAGCCTTCCAGAAGCCACTTTCTCCCAGGTCACCACATTCTTCTAGCCCAGCAGCGCGCGGTCTCTCTCTCTCTCTCTCTCTCTCATATCAGGATATCTTTATATTCTTTAAAATCTCTGAAGACCTCAAAGAGGTTTACTCTATATGGGGTCATATTTAATGCCAGTTACAGTATTAGAAATTAAAGCAACACCTAGCAGCGCCGGCACACCGGGTTCTAGTCCCGGTCAGGGCGCCGGATTCTGTCCCGGTTGCCCCTCTTCCAGGCCAGCTCTCTGCTGTGGCCAGGGAGTGCAGTGGAGGATGGCCCAAGTCCTTGGGCCCTGCACCCCATGGGAGACCAGGATAAGTTCCTGGCTCCCGCCTTCAGATCAGCACGGCGCGCCGGCCGCAGCGAACGGCCATGGCGGCCATTGGAGGGTGAACCAACGGCCAAAGGAAGACCTTTCTCTCTGTCTCTCTCTCTCTCACTATCCACTCTGCCTGTCAGAAAAACAAAAAAAAAAAAACAAAAAGAAACAACAAAAATAAGTTGAAATTTAAGCCCAATGTTTTTAAAGAACATTTGCTTTTTTTTTTTTTTTTTTTTTGGACAGGCAGAGTTAGACAGTGAGAGAGAGAGAGTTGAAGGTCTTCCTTCCGTTGGTTCACCCCCCAAATGGCTGGTGCATTGCGCCAATCCAAAGCCAGGAGCCAGGTGCCTCCTCCTGGTCTCCCAAGTGGGTGCAGGGCCCAAGCACTTGGGCCATCCTCCAGTGCACTCCCGGGTCACAGCAGAGAGCTGGACTGGAAGAGGAGCCACCGGGACAGAATCTAGATCATTTGCTTATTTGAAAGGCAGAGCATGAGAGAGAGGAAGGGAGAGAGAGAGAGAGAGAGAGAGAGAGAGAGCAAGATCTTCCATCCACTGATTTTTCTCTTCAAATGGATATAGTGGCCAAGGTTGGGCCAACTGGAAGCCAGGAACCAGGCTCCATCTAGGTATCTCACGTGGGGAGCAGGGGTCCAAGCACTTGGGCCATCTTCTGCTGCTTTCCCAGGCGCATTAGCAGGGACCTGGATCAGAAGTGGAGCAGCCGGGACTCCAGCCAGCACTCCAGTATGGAATACCAGCATCTCAAGTGGTGGCTGGGCCTGCTGCGCCACAACACTGGCCCCAAAACAAAGATATTTTAAAGATTTATTGAGGGGGGCAGTGCTGCGGCACAGCAGGTAGAACTGTCGCCTGCAGTGCCGGCATCCCACTTAGAGTCCCGGCTGCTCCACTTCCCATCCAGCTCTCTGCTATATCCTGGGAAAGCAGTGGAAGATGGTCCAAGTCCTTGGGCCCCTGCACCTGCGTGAGAGACCAGGAAGAAGCTCCTGGCTGCTGGCTTCAGATCAGTGTAGCTCCAGCCAATTGGGGAGTGAACCAGCAGATGGAAGACCTCTCTATCTTTCTGCCTCTGCCTCTCTGTAATTCTGCCTTTCAAATAAATAAATATTTTTTAAAAAAAAGTATGTCATTTAAAAAAAATATTTATTTAGGGACAGCCGTCTAGCCTAGCGGTTAGGTGCCTAGGTCCCACATCAGAGTACCTGGATTGGATTCCTGGCTCCAGCTTCCTGCTAATGTGCGCCCTGGAAGGCAGCAATGGTGGCTTAAGTAATTGGGCTCCTGCCACGCATGTGGGAGACCTCGACAGAGCTCCCGGCTCCCAGCTTGGGCCTGGCCTAGTCCAGCCCATGTGGATATGTGCGGGGAGTGACCCTGCAGGTGACAGCGCTCTCTCAAAAAAAAAAAAAAATCTAATTTTTTAAAATAAAATGTACTTGTAGGCCACATACGGAAAAATACATTTTTTAGGAAATTCTGTTTCCGAAAAGAAAAAGCCGTAGGGAAGAGTTGGCAATGCCTCGAATCTCTGCGGGGCTTTCATGAGGGCTGCTCCTGCCACACGTGCTCTGTTTGACCCCAGTGGAGAAAGGCCAGGGTCCCACAGGTATCTTATTGGGAAAGAGGACTTCACAATTTGTGCAACCTGGTACCCTGGCCCCAGGCCCACCCCCACTCCCGGTAGGCGCTGAGTGGGCCCCTGAGCCCCAGCCCCAGTACCCGGGGCCCAGCGGCTCTATCAGGGTGCTGGGAGCGTGACTCAGCCAGCGGAGTCACAGGCACACCTGCTGAGGACTCAGAAGCCCCCAGACTTTCTGCAGAGCGACCGGCCCCACACACAGTTCCCAGGCAGGGTCCCAGAATCAGGGCCGGTGGGCTGTGGCTTTGCCGCTTCTGGACTGGAGTCTTCCGCCGCCCTCCGCGCATGCAGCAGGCGTCAACCCGAGGCAACCCGAGGCACGCCAGGGGCGCAGGACCGTGGGTGGGTACGGAGGCTGGCGTGTGGGTGGTGACCCTCGCATCCTGGAGCCGCACGGGGCCCACGAGCAGCAGGCAAGGTCGAAATAAAGACATGAAGCCATAAAGCGTGCAGCAGCAGCGGCCTTTAGCCGTCTTGGGCTTATCTGATTTTTCCTGGGATCTGCCCGAGGGCGAGCTGGAATTCCCAGGGAGGCTCGGCTGTGACTCACCCAGAGCCAAACCCTCCAGGGACAGCCTTCCTGCCCCCACACTCCTTCCACCCTCCGACTCCCTCCCTCTCCGCAGAACTACAGGAACACAAAGACTGGGTGACCCGGAGGGCAGTGGAGGTGGCAGGAGAGAAGGAGACCCCATCTGCTGCTGCTTGGGCTGTGCCTTAGCAGGGAGCTGGAATCGGGAGCTGAACCCAGGTGCTTCTCCAGGGAGACCCTGCCCCTTGGGCTTCACCTCTGGGTCATTTTGCATCTCCCTGGACCTGCCCATGGCCCCAGGCTCCGCGATTGGGTTTTTTTCTGGATCCTTCCAGGATGGGACAACCATAACACACGGAGCTCAGGACCCCACCAAGCCACCATCTAGGGTTTCCAAATTTTTCTTTGGCAGTAAAACCACATTTGTTTCTGTGTTGCCAAGAGCTGGGGCCAACAGCTGTTACCCGCTCTGACCTCCCTCTTGTCCCCACCCCTGGCCCCCACGTGCCAGCCCTGAGATCCCAGAACACACACTGCAGTAGCGGACGGTGGCTCATCTGCCCATTGCACAGATGCGGAAGCCGAGTCCAGGAGGGAGGACTCTTGTCCACAAGACTTGGGAGTCAGCCCAGGGCTAGAAGCCATCCCTTTGTCCCGGGGAGCAGGGATGGCTGTTAGGGGCTCACAGGAGGTGAAGCAGGAGTTGGGGGGGACAGAAGCCGCATTAAGGTGACACCTGCAGAGGCTTATTTTGCTAATAAGCATCGTCTGCCCGCCTCCAGCCATCAGCAGGGGTCTGGCTGGGAAGGTGGCTGCCCGGTGGGATGGGACCCAAGCCCCTCACCCTGCGGCCCTCCTGCCCCGTGCCCAGCTCCTCTGCCCCTACCCCCCAATTACTGGGTAACAATTTGTGTCCTGGGGACCCCCCCCTGCATTTCCACCCAGGCCCCACACCCCCCTCCTGACCACAGGCTAGTATGGACCACATGTGCCAAGATCCCTGCCAGGGGCTGGCACTGTGGCACAGCAGGTTACACAGCTACTAAGGATGCCAGCATCCCACACCAGAGCACCGGTTCAAATCCTGGCTGCTCCACTTCCAATCCAGCTCCCTGTGAATGCGCCTGGGAAAGCAGCAGAAATTGGCTCAAGTCATGGGAGACCCAGATATAGTTCCAGGCTCCTGGCTTCAGCCTGACCCAGCCTTTGGCCGTTGGCAGGTGTTGGGGGAGTGGCCCAGTGGATGGGAGATCTCTTTCTTTCTCTCTGCCTTTCAGATAAATAAATCTTTTTTTTAAGGAGAGAAGCACTGACCAGGGGAGGGGGCACTGTTGGTGACTTCCCTGCCAGAAGCTTTGCATGGTCACTCGGTGTCATTTCTTCCACCAACCCACGAGACTGGGGTCACAGCAAACGCAGCCAAGTGTCAGTCAGTGATCCTGGCTCAAGCCCTTGGCAGGGAGGGGTTGATTCCAGATTCGGCCCCCAGAGAAGCTGCCCGTGGGAGGTCACCACACTCAGGGACACCACAGTGGCCAAGCCCTGGGGCTGAGCAGGCGCTGTAGAAACTGCGGAGGCTGAGATGGCTCCTCTGAGCTGTTCCTGGCCAGGGCACTGGGGGAGGCCGAGCCGCGGTCTCTGGCCACTTCTTCAGCCTATGCTTGGTGAGCTGGGTGGAGCCCAAGGGTCAGGAGGCGTGGCCGGCCGCCAACCTCTGGGCATCCTTTGCTCTTGCAGGACCTGGGCATGGAGTCGACCTCGCTGGACGACGTGCTGTACCGCTACGCCAGCTTCCGGAACCTGGTGGACCCCATCACGCACGACCTCATCATCAGCCTGGCGCGCTACATCCACTGCCCCAAGCCGGTAGGTGGCTGTGGTCTGAGGCATCCGGGTGTGAAGTGGGTACCTTCTGGGCCAATGAGCAGCTCAGGGTCCGAGGAGGACAAGCCCCCTCTTGCAGGCTCCAAGGGGGAGGGGGGCCGAGGTGCCTTCACAGTGGCATCATCAACACAAATGACATCATCTAACCCATGTGGTGAATTCATTCCCAATAGATTTTTTTTAATCAGAAATATTTACATCATCCTTATATTCAGCCGCCCTTGTAGCTCCGAAGGAAAATCCCCAGGGTGCCCAGGCTCCAGCAGTGTTGCCCAGCCCCTTCTGGGTGAGAGATTCTGCCCACTCCAGGGTCTGGCCCGTGGGCCTTGCAAGTGCCAGGCTGACTTACCTGGGGCTGACGTCCAGGGCCCTGGCAAGAAGAGAAGGGAGGGTCAGGCCCAGGCAGCCCCATACAAGGGGTCTTCAGGAAGCTCTTGGGCAGTGTGTATTATGAAAAACACCATGCATGCATTCCAAACACTGCACCAAAATGGACTTACTTTAAAAAAAAAAATGCATTGGGGCTGGCGCTGTGGCATAATAGGTAAAGCCATTGCCTGCGGTGCTGGCATCCTATATGGGCGCCGGTTCAAATCCCGGCTGCTCCACTTCCGATCCAGCTCTCTGCTATGGCCTGGGAAAGCAGTAGAAGATGGCCCAAGTCCTTGGGCCCCTGCATTGGTGTGAGAGACCCGGAGGAAGCTCCTGGCTCCTGGCTTTGGCCTGGCACAGCCCTGGCTGTTGCAGCCATCTGGAGAATGAACAAGTGAATGGAAGAGCTCTCTGTCTTTGTCTCTCTCCCTCCCTCCCTTCCTCCCTCCCTCCCTCCCTCCCTCCCTCTCTGTAGATCTTTCAATTGGAAAATAATCTTTTTTAAAAAAATGCATGTATGGGGGCCAACATTGTGGTTCAGTGACTTAAGCTGGTGCCTGTAACGCCAGCAGCCCATATGGACACCAATTCGAGTCCCAGCTGCTCCACTTCCCATCCAGCTCCCTGCACTTGGGCCATCTTCTACTGCTTCCCCAGGCACAGTAGCAGGGAGCTAAGTCAGACGTGGAACAGAAGAACTCTGCTCCAGCCCCATGGGCCTCGTCTCTGTCCCTAGCACAACCAGCCCCTCTCTCCTGCCCTACATCCCTGGCTGCCCCCTCGGGCCATAGCGGGTGCCTCTGAGTTTCCTTCTCCTGCATTCAGACCAAGCCCAGACCCTGCCTGTCAGAGGCCTCCTCCTCCGACCAGCCTACCTTTTGCGGGCTTCCCCATCAGCCTCTGCCTTGTGCCCAAATACAGAGGGAGAGAGACACCACTCCCTTCCACGGGTCACTTCCCAGAGGCCCACACGGTGGGGGCTGCACCAGGAACCAGGAGCTCCATCCAGGTCTCCCATGTCAGTCCAAGGATTCACCTACTTGAACATTCACCCCTGCCTCCCAGGGTGTGCAGCACCAGGAAGCCGGAACCAGGAGTGGAGCCGGGACTCAAACCCCAGCATTCCCAAGAGGCATCTTTTTTAAAAAGATTTATTTATTTAAGGGCAGAGTTACAGAGAGGCAGAGAGACAGACAGACAGACAGAGAGGTCTTCCATCTGCTGGTTCACTCTCCAAATGGCCACATAGGCAGGAGCTGAGCTGATCTGAAGCCAGGAGCCAAGAGCTTCTTCTAGGTCTCCCACACAGGTGCAGAGGCCCAAGGACTTGGGCCATCTTCTACTGCTATCTCAGGCCATGGCAGAGAGCTGAATCGGAAGTGGAGCAGCTGGGACTCGAACTGGTGCCCATATGGGATGCCGGCGCTGCAGGCAATGGCTTTACCCGCTGCACCACAAAGCCGGCCCCTCTGTCACTTTCCTTTTAAGTAAAACAGAAAAAAAAAAAAAAAATTGCAGGTAGGGGCCAGTGCTGTGGCACAGTGGGTTAACGCCCTGGCCTGAAGCGCAGGCATCCCATATGGGCACTAGTTTGAGTCCTGGCTGCCCTACTTCCTGTCCAGCTCTCTGCTACGGCCCAAGTCCTTGGGCCCCTGCATCCATGTGGGAGACCGGGAAGAAGCTCCTGGCTCCTGGCTTTGGATCGGCTCAGCTCCGGGAGTTGCGGTCATCTGGGGGAGTGAACCATCGGAGGGAAGACCTCTCTCTGTCTCTACCTCTCCTCTCTCTGTGTAACTCTGATTTCCAAATAAATTAATAAATCTTTAAAAAAAAATTGCAGGTAAAGCTCCAGGCAGAGGTACCTCGGCCCCTCCCTGTCCCCAGTCCCTTGCCATGTGGTCAGGAAGGGGGCAGGAATGGAATTCAAAGATGGGTTCACCTTGGCGCAAAGATGTTTTTGAAACTCGTGCCTCCTTTCTTCCCAATATGCATTCTTGTGAACCTTCTCAAAACCCCCTCCCCTGAGCCTGTTGCCCCCACCCCCACCCCGTTTTCTCTGCAGGGTTCCAGCTCCACCCCCTCCCGGGGCAGGGCGGGGCTCGCTTGGCCTGGACGGGGGTCACTTTGCTGGGCTGCGCCACCTGGCGGAGGAGAAAATTTCCTGGGGCAGAGGGGCCAGCAGCCCACCTCGGTGCTGGGTGCGGGGCAGGTGGGTGCCCAGCCCGCGGTGGCCGAGCTCCCCAGGGCCAGCATTGCTCAAGGCTGCTGAGTCGCTGGGGAGCAGCAGCTGTGTCGCAACCTTGCAACCACACGCCTGGCTCTTGCTGCTCCGTCTCTGGGCTGGTCCTGCCCCGTCTCGCTCTCTGCAGGAAGGCGGCCTTGTGGCGAGGTGGAGAGGGGACTTTGAAAGGCGAGGGGCTTGGGGAGCTTGCAACCCTTGTTGTCTTGCAACTGGGCTGAGCAAAAGACAGAGGATGCCTCCCAGCCAGGGCCGAGGGGGTGGCAGCCAGAAGCCCCATCCAGACCCCTCCCTGACAAGCTGTGTGGCCTTGCCTGCCTGTTTAACCCCTTTCTGCCTCCCTGGGCCCCTCCTCTGTGCCCTGAGATGTTAGGATGGCTGCAAAGGGGCTAGGGCTGTAGTGTGTGTGTTCATATGCCCTGTGTATTGTGGATACTCCATACAACTTGGCTGCCGTGCGGTTCAGAGCAAGCAGGGAGGGAACTCTCTCCTGCTGGCTCTCAACGCCACTCCGTTCGCCGGCTGTGTCTACCAAAAAGTTCATAGGAAATAGAATTAAAAGATAAAACATTCTTAGGGTGCAATATTTGAAATTCTTAGCTTTTTCATTTAGCGATTTTCACCAACTCTTTGAGACGCCCCCGCGTGAGCATGGATTTCAAACGTGGTTTGCACCCAAATCAGCTTAGCTGTTAAATTCCATTCTCCATCAGCCTTTTAACTGTTGGGCCAGGGAGGAAACTGAGGCCGCCGCTCAGCCACGTCACTCGGGCGCCTCGCCCTGCGCGCGGCTGCCACCTAGTGGCGGTGGCGGTGCACTGCCACCCCTCTTTGCCTCTTTGTTCTCTCTCCCTTTCAGGCTCACGCCTGGAGAGGGTGGAGGGAAAGGTTTTGGAAACCCTGGGAAGTGGCTGGAAGAGGAGCTGCAGCTGATCCCCTGCATCTTCCCCTCGAACCCCCACCGTGGCTTGTCAGGAGATAACCTGGGAAACCTTTAAAAACCCCTGTGCCCTGGGCAGGTGTTTCACGGATACCCCCCGCCCGCAACACGCCTGAGTTCATGTCCCAGCTCTGCTCAGCTAACGCAGCCCTGGGAAGCAGAGGGTGATGGTGATGCAAGTAATTGGACCCCTGCCTCCCACGTGGGAGACCCCGCCTGAGTCCCTGGCTCCTGGCTTCGGCTTGGCCCAGCCCCTCAAGCTGTTGTGGGCCGCCCACCCGCCGTTGTAGGTGTGGCCCCCACCCCTGGGGTTCTGGGGTGGAAAGTGAGTTGTGCGTCTGCACCTCCCATTCTCCTTCACCTGGACCCCAGCCCCAGCCTGTGCTGGCCCAGGCCTCCTGTCTGGAGCCCAACCCCCTAAATCCAGCTGCACCTGAGCTCATCCCGCTTTGCACCTGCCCCTGCCTCAACTCCCTTTGCCTTCTCCCCAGGGCCCAAGGCCAAAGACCCGACCCTCCGCAGCACCCCTCACCCCCGCCATGCTTCCCCATCCTGTGTGCACTGCCGGCCAGGTGGGTGGCCTCCAGCACCTCCAGTGTCTTCCTCCAGCCTGACCCTGGGTCACCTTCTCAGCGTCCTGTCCCACCCCTCTCATCTCCCAGTCTGAGCGCCGCGCAGGCTCCCGGGAGCGAGCAGGCCCAGGAGAGCACCCTTGAGCCCTTTTACAAGCAGTATCTCCTCTGAGGTCAGGGCGGTTTCCCTTTGCAGGTGAGGGTCAGAGAGGTCACGTGCCTTGCCCAGGGCCACACTGGAGGCGGCAGAGCTAGGACTTGAAGTCCACGCCCCCCTTCCCCTACACGCACCCCCTTGCCACTCCGCTGGCTGTTTGTGTGCCCCCAGAGCAGCGCTGGGACTCGAGGGCGCGCTCCGGGACGGGCACTGGGCTGGGCGTGTGGTGCGGGGGTTGATGTGTTCAACCTGTGCACTTGTGGGCTTGCATTCAAGCCCCAGCACTCGCTGGCTGTTGGCCCATGCCCTGGCCCAGTTTGGCAAGAGCACAGCCCTGGCCACTCACTCCCCCCGGAAAGGACTCGTGCCCCCCTGCACCCAGCACGGGTCTGGCACAGGCGGCTGTGTGCTGATCCGACTTCCCTGGGGACAGAGCTGGTCTCTCTCTCTCTCTCTCTCTCTCTCTCTCTCCTTTTCCCCAGCGTATTAGTCTGCCAGGGCTGCCCAGTAAAACACTGAGGAATGAGGTCTTCAAGCACAGAACTGGGGCCAGCGCTGTCGCATAGCGGGTTAAGCCGCCGCCCTCAGTGCCAGCATCCCATATGAGTCCCGGCTGCTCCACTTCCGATCCAGATCCCTGCTAATGCACCTGGGAAGACAGTGGAAGATGACCCAAGTGCTTGGGCCCCTGCACCTATAGGGGAGACCTGTAGGTCTTCAGCCTGGCCCAGCCCTGGCCATTGTGGCCATTTGGGGAGTGGGCCAGCTGATGGAAGATCTCTCTCTCCCTTTCTCTCTCTCTCTCCCTCCCTATCTCTCTGTAACTCTTTCAAATAAATCTTTTAAAAAAAAATCCTGGCGGAGGGGGCAACTGAGCTGAGCTGCAGCCAATGTTTGCTGTTAGATCACCCGGGATCCAAGTTGTATATAAACGTCAGCTTCTCAGTGGTAGCAACTAATCCACAAAAACGAAACCCAGGGTGCAGGTGAAGTGTGACCCTGCTGCTGCCTGCCAAGCGTGCCCACCCTGGGCCAGCAGAGCAGGCCTCCCTGCCACGCCCCCTGGCCTCAGCCGGTGCACTTCCCCGACGGAAGCATGGGGTAGGGGGGTGGCGACACTCAAGCAAGTCTGTGTTTGTGGTTGTATATGCAGGAAGGTGACGCGCTGGGCGCCATGGAGAAGCTGTGTCGCCAGCTGACCTACCACCTCAGCCCCCACTCCCAGTGGAGGAGGCACCGGGGGCTGGCGAAGAGGAAGCCACAGGCCTGGTGAGTGGGGGCCGCCCCTGCCCCGAGCACTGAGGGGAGGGGAAAGCTGGAGTCTGGGTTGCTGGAGGGGGAGGTGCTGTCCTGGAAGGCTGCCTGGAGGAGGTGAGATTGAAGGAGAATTTAGGGATGGGGGTTGGTGCCAGGAGGGAGGGCATTCTTGGTGGAGGGTGGAGGGAAGCCCTGGTCTGTGCAGTGGGTGCTGGGGAGAATAGGTCTCCTCGGGTGGACTGGGCTGGGAGGGGAGTAAGGAGCTTCTACAAGTGAACACCCCAGTTCTCTGAGCTGCCCCCCACCCCGGGAGCCCAGGCCCTGGCTCATGCAGCAGCGAGGACCCTCAGGGTTTTGCGGCCCACTGAGGGAGACTGGTGGGAGGTGAGAGGCGCAGGGGACCCAGAACTTGTGGGCCTTGACAGGTAGCAGGCGAGTGGCGGGGAGCCTGCAAGGCAGACTCCCTGGAGGAGGAAGCGCTCATGTCTGCCCCACTCCAGCCTGGAGAAGACACAGCTCTGGGGCCTGCTGCCCTCCCAGGAGAGGCGATGGAGCCTGGAGCAGCTTCCCCCAGGCAGTGCGAACTGTGGAGGCGGAGGGCAGAGGCCACGGGGCCAGAGCAGGACAGGAGGCCACAGTGCAGTGGGGCTTTGTGAGGTGTTCCTGAGGCTGCCCGCCTGGCAGTTTAAGCTCTGCTAGAATCTAGGGGCCTCTCTGTCTCCCCAGCTCACACACACACACACACACACACACACACTGCCCGCTACTCCATGACCTTTCTTTTTTTTTTTTTAATGAAGGACATACCTAAATTTCTTTTTTTTTTATTTTTTATTTATTTATTTATTTATTTTTATTTTTGACAGGCAGAGTGGACAGTGAGAGAGAGAGAGAGAGAGAGAAAGGTCTTCCTTTGCCGTTGGTTCACCCTCCAATGGCCGCTGCGGCTGGCACTTTGCGGCCGGCGCACCGCGCTGATCCGATGGCAGGAGCTAGGTGCTTATTCTGGTCTCCCATGGGGTGCAGGGCCCAAGCACTTGGGCCATCCTCCACTGCACTCCCTGGCCACAGCAGAGAGCTGGCCTGGAGGAGGGGCAACCGGGACAGAATCCGGCGCCCCGACTGGGACTAGAACCAAGTGTGCCGGCGCCGCAAGGCGGAGGATTAGCCTAGTGAGCCACGGCACTGGCCTTCCATGACCTTTCTTATTAGGTGTCTCCCAAAGCCAGGATCTTGTCCATCTTGTCTACCACCTTCAGCCCAGTGCCCGGCACACAGTAGGAGCTTAACAACCATCTGGGAAAGCCTGGAGAGAGGCAGGAGGATTCGCTGTTGCCAGGGACTGTGGGCCGAGGACTCCCAGCTGGTGAGCAGTGGGGATGCACGGAAGCCAGGGCTCCGCTTGTTCCCCACCGCGCTGTTGCCATGGTGCGTTGGTTTGCTTCCTGATGACCCCTGATGGCGGGAGCCAGCACATACTCTGTGCTGAGCCGACCCCAGCAGCCTTGGGGAGCGCTGTGGAGAGCTCTACCTTCAGACCCCGTGGGAGGCAACATGAGCTCAGCGGGGACAGCCCCACCCCACCCCCCCAGCCTCAGGAGGCCCCAAGGCTAAAAGGTTACCCTAAGCTGCTGATAGGAGCTTTTTATCTTTTTTTTTTTTTTTTTTTTTGACAGGCAGAGTGGACAGTGAGAGAGAGAGAGACAGAGAGAAAGGTCTTCCTTTTCTGTTGGTTCACCCTCCAATGGCCGCCGAGGCCAGTGCACCGCGCTGATCCGAAGCCAGGAACCAGGTGCCTCTCCTGGTCTCCCATGGGTGCAGGGCCCAAGCACTTGGGCCATCCTCCACTGCACTCCCAGGCCATAGCAGAGAGCTGGGCTGGAAGAGGGGCAACCGGGACAGAATGCGGCGCCCCGACCGGGACTAGAACCCGTTGTGCCGTCGCCGCTAGGCGGAGGATTAGCCTAGTGAGCCACGGCGCCGTCAGCTTATCTTTTTTTAGGAATTTTTTTATTTGTTCACTTGAAAGCCAGTTAGAGACAGAAAGAATCTTCAATCCACTGGTTCACTCCCTAAATGGCCACAATGGCCAGAGCTGGGCTGGTCTGAAGCCAGGAGCCAGGTGCTTCTCCTGGTCTCCCATGCAGGTGCAGGGCCCAAGCACTTGGGCCATCCTCCACTGCTTTCCCAGGCCACAGCAGAAAGCTGGACTGGAAGAGTTACAGCCAGGACATGAACCAGGAGCCAGCACCACAGGTGGAGGCTTAGCCCACTATGCCACAGCGCCAGCCTCTTATAGGAGCTTTTGGGTGCTTGTGAACTGGGGAGCTGGGAGCCCCTCCAATCTCCCCATCCTGTACAGGGCTGGGGTCTCGGGGACCATCTCACCACTGCACCAGGGCATGGGTAGGGAAAGGGCACAGTCGCCATCATCTTGAGCCGCCTGGGCGCTGGGAAGAGAGCGGAGCAGGGGAAGAAAGGAGTTGGCAGACGGCAGGTGCTGGGGCGGGCGGGGGCCACAGCTTCATCCCCGCTGGAGGATCCCTGGTCGCTGGAGAAGGGGGCTTGCAAGAGGGGCTCAGGGGACCCCCAAGACTGGGGAAGCCCAGCTCAGCCCACATGAAGACAATGAGGGTGGCAAATGCTTACCCAGCAGGCGCTGTTCTACCTGCTGTGCCATTTTATTTTCCAAAACAATCCTGGAGCGCCTGATGCAATGTTGCAGGTAAATCATTGAGGAACAGAGTAAGAACGAGACTAGGAAGGGAAGGGGTTGAGACGCACACCTGGGCCAGCACTGTGGCACAGGTTAAGCTGCCGGCTGCAGTACCTGCATCCCATAGGAGCACGGGTCCAAGTCCCGACTGCTCCACTTCCGATCCAGCTCCCTGCTAATGCACCTGGGAAAGCAGCGGAGGATGGCACATGTGCTTGGGCTCCTGCCACCTATGTGGGAGACTCGGGTGGAGCTCCAGCTGTTGTGGCCATATGGGGAGTGAACCAGCAGATGGAAGCTCTCTCTCCCTTTCTCCGCCTTTCCAATACTAAATCAGCCTTTACAAAGAGCCTCCAGGAGTGGCAGCCACAGGCAGAGATGTGAGAGCCAGGACATGAGGCGGGGGCGGGTCCCTGTTTCTCGCACCCCTGCAATCTAGCATCATCTGCAGGAGTTTTGTACAAATGAGCCTCCTGGGTCAGGGTCAAGGCTGCCGCACTCCCTCCAACCACGCCTGTGCATCTCGCCCACCCCCCCCCCCCAGCCTCAAAGCCGTCCTGGCCGGCAGCCCTCCAGACAACACGGTGGACCTGTCCGGCATCCCGCTGAGCTCCCGCGACCTGGAGCGTGTGAGCAGCTACCTGCAGCGCTGCGGGGAGCAGGTGGACAGTGTGGAGCTGGGCTTCACGGGCCTCACCGACGACATGGCCCTGCAGCTGCTGCCCGCCCTCAGCGCCCTGCCCCGCCTCACCACGCTGGCGCTCAACGGCAACAGGCTGACCCGGGCCCTGCTGCGCGACCTCACCGACGCCCTCAAGGACCCCAGCAAGTTCCCCCACGTCACGTGGATCGACCTGGGCAACAACGTGGACATCTTCTCCCTGCCCCAGCCCTTCCTGCTCAGCCTGCGCAAGCGCTCCCCGAAGCAGGGCCACCTGCCCACCATCCTGGAGCTGGGCGAGGGCCCAGGCGCTGGGGAAGAGGCCCGGGAGGGGACTCCTGCCACAGACCACCAGGAGGGCAAGGAGGCCGTGGCTCAGACATGAGACAGCAGAGGGGTCTCGCCACCTTCGCCCCGGTGGGGCGGGGCGGGATGGCTGAGGACGGCTCCTATCAGGAGGCCACAGGAGGCAGGCTGTAGCATCGGGGAGAAGGGGAATTCATGTAATAACACCATTGGTTCTCCCTTTTCAGTCCCATTACCTGCCTTGAGGCTCCGGAGGTCCCAGGCACCTACCCTTCCGGCTCAGCCCTCAGCCACCCTCAACCGGGCTGTGGCTGAGATGCTGCCCAGGGACCTTTCCAATTCTGCATGTCCCCTGGGGAAGCAAACGCCAGCCAGATGCTGACCACATCCCTCCCACCCCTCCTCCCTGAGGAGGGTTACAATCTTTAGCTTGCAGAATGAGGGGGAAGGCTTCCACAGGGAGCCCTGTGTCCTTGCCAAGCAGGCAGACCTGCCAGGCGGGCCCTTCTCCCAGCATCCCTTCCCAAACCAGCCATTCCTTGAGCACAGTTCCCAGCAGTCAGAGAAGGCGAATAACCTGGGGCCTCCCTGGAACCCAACTCAGCAAAGGGCATCTGCCCTCCAGCGGCCCCTCCCCCACTCTCCCAAATCCCAGGCCAAGCCCTGGGAGCCAGGTCAGGGGACTGGGAGCCAGTTGTCATCAGGCCAGACCAGCAGTACAGGTTCTCAATGGGTGAACCGCAGCACTGTAGGCAAGTGTGGGGAGGACTCACGGGCAGAGAGCTGTGAAAGGTGTGTTGCAGCCAAGTCAGGATTGGATTGGAACCGGTTGTGTAGATGCCTTAAATGCTTCGGAATTTTTGCCCTCAGTCTCAAGTGGCTAAGAGGGGGAGAGCAGCCCAGGCTGACCCAAAGTTTACAAGCTTGAGTGCTAATAACTGGACTGTTAATACCTGATAGCAGTAATCAGAGCTAACTTTTTCTTCAAATACACATTTTTAAGAACCAACAACAATGACCCCCCTTTATTATGGCATTGGTTAATGGTGACTTCTAGAGTTTTGAGAAAAATGTAACCACAGTCAGTTTATCACACTAAGTTTATTGAAGTGCAGAAGGCACCCCTGTTAGGCAGCTCAAGGAGCAACACCGGCCCTGTGTGCTGGCCTCACACCACCCCCGAGTCACTAGGCGTGCAGCATCTCCACTGCTGGCGGCAGCCGGTCCTTGGGCTCAGCATCCTCCCGGGACAGCCTGCAGAGAACGACATTTCAGTCCCCCTTCCTGCTCCAGCAGCCAACAGCCACTCCCAACACGGAAGATATCTTCAGAAGACCTTGGGCTCACCACCACACAATCTGCCGGTAATTCCAGCTATTTTTCGGTGATTTCATCATTGATATCCTTTTCTTGAACTAGCTGCTCATTCCCCCATTCTGCCAGTAAGCAGGGTCAACACTGTGCGTACTCACCTCTCGCGCGGAGCAGAAGCCACTGCCAGCCCCCGAGTTCCCTGCTGCAAAGCCTGGGAGGAGAGAAGGCACGCGCTCAAAACAAGACAGCACGGAGCCTGGAGCAGACCCGCTGACAGCAGCCTCGACCTGCCGCTCTGGGGGACCTGTCCCCTCCACCGAGTTCCATCCTCTTCCCAAACCCGAGGTTTTCTTTTCCCGGACAGCTGTGTCCCACTCAGCAGCCAAGAGGCCAGACGGCAGCTCCCCTCCCTGGCTCTGGGCGCCACGCTGCCCCAGCCCACCCGGGACCCAGCCCTCTGGATTTCACCCAATCAAACACCAGCATCAAGTAGCACGAACCACTAACGGCTCCGCAGATACACTTACCGCGTGACGGGGGGAGGGGCGGGGCTGCAGCTCCAGCCCTCGGCGGCTTGCTGGTGCTGTAGCGTGGAACCTACGTGAACACGCCGCCACGTTAGGTCACAGGCCAGCCCGGGCTCGGCCCTGGCCAGCGGCAGACTTGGGGACTGCAATCAGCCAGGAGCATTCTCGTCAGTTGTCGCTTCTGACGGCACTTCCTAAGAGTGATCTCATCACAGCAGTCCCCGCGGCTGCCCCAGCCGAGCCCTAACTGCCTTAGGGACCCATCAGACCCCACTTATGCAAGATCCCCGCTGCCCAGAGCTCCACAGCCGCCCTAGGTTCCGCACCCACTACGGGATAACCCATGGCCTCGTGCAAATGCCCAACCCAGTGCCCCCGAGCTGCCGACCACTAGGCCCCGCACTAGGGCTTACCTCACGCTGGGAGGCTGCGCCTACCTTGGGTTCTCGGCGCCACCTAAAGACGGGAAGACAGGCGTCAGGGGCTAAGGCAGTTACCCATGCATGCAACTAAATCCGAGGTTTCAGCGACTGCGCTCAGACGGCTACGGGCATCGTCAGTTATCGCCTCTGACGGCACTTCCTATTACTGGTATCATCAGGTCAGTCGGCCGAAGTCTTCCTCGCCTACCGCCCCCGGTGCACCCCCAACTGCGGGCAGGGCCCCCAAACGCACCCACCTTTCTCGGGTTTCGCGCACTCCTCGTGTTTTCTTCTAGGACCGCAGGCTCCCCGGGCGGTGGCTGTACCGGACACGCACGTGACCCCTCGGACACCCGGCGCGGCGCCCACCGCGGGGCCCACGTAGGGTCAGGAGCTGGGGGTACACTGTTACTACAGCTGCCCCCTCCCCGTGAGCCAAGCCTTCCGGAAGCATTTTCTCAGGAATCAGAAGGCGTTAGCGCGTCGCCCCCGCCGCCAGGCACCAGCTACCGCCAGCAACACAGCCCACCTCCGCGAATAGCGAAAAGGTCGTATAAGCAGTACGCCGGCCCTTTAAGGAGTAGGAATGTTCCATTCTTCACAAAAGAGAGGGTGAGACCAGCAAAGACTCTCGGGAACTTCGGCCCCTTTAACAATAGACTGCGCCGCCGCCGTCCCTCAGGAACTCCCTCTTCCTTCGGAGCCTGTGGTTTCTTCCACGGCCCGAGGAATTCTGGGCGGGGGAGGCCCAGGGCGCCTGCGCGAGGGCAGAAGCGCGGGCTTCCGTCCGCGCTTTAGCGGTGTGGTTTGAGCAAATGGCTAGGCTCGGCCTTTGGGAGTTTTCGATTGCTCTAAAGGAAAAATGGAGACACCAGCACCCCGGAAGGCCATCTGAGACGGTGCAGCTGAAGTTCCTGGGCATACAGCAGGCAGCCATAAATACTAGCGGCACCTGCGGTCTCCCCACCTCCGAGCCTCTCTCAAACCCTGGCGCGCTCGGGGACTCTTCCACGCAGGCCCCCTTCTCGCACCTGCAGCCGGAAACCCCTGTAATGCGTTCTATTCAGCGTCTGAGCGTGCTTAGGTCTCCCCAGCTTCACAACTACTCAGGCCCCCTTAGTACCAAAGCAATCGGGACAGCGGCTTTTGAGCCGGGCTCAGAAATCAGAGTAGAATGTCCACGGAGTGGGTGGGGGCAAGGGCCGAGTCCAGAGGCTCAGCCCAGGGCTCTGAGCCCGCGCGAAGAATCTGGGGAATGTGCCAAGGTGTTTGGAAAAGCTGGGGCAGAACCTTGGAAGGCGCGGGGGGTGGGGGGTGGGGGTCTGTGGACACTGGGGTGGGGAGGTCTTGTTTGTCTTGGGTCTTAGGCAAGAGAATGGCTTGGAGGGGTGGAGAGCGAGCAGTAGGCCCAGCGCCTCAACCAGACCTACTGCAAGGAAGGCAGTAGGTTTGGGAGACAACGTGGAGCTGGCTTCGACAGTTAGCAGACAGCAAGACCAGACACGGCCATGACAGCGCGCTCAGCACCTGCGCCAGCGCCAGACACCCAGGAAGAGGGCAGGGGGCAGGGGCCAGCGGCTGAGGGTCTCTGTGTCCAGGCGAGGTGGGAAGACCCGAGCCCCAGACACAGACATGCAGACGTCAGCAGCCTGAGGGTCCCAAGCACCCCGGCTCAAATGAGGTTTCCAAGAAGAGACCAAGTTGTGGAAAAAAAAAAGTTTATATTTGCAGCCCAGGTTCACTGGGGCTCCAGGATCAGAAGGTGCGGCGGGAGAGATTCCCTCTGGGTCCTGTCGACCTCCGGCTGGCTTCGGCCATCAGCGGGACTGGAGCAGCTGAAGGGGCAGATGGTCTTCCTCCGAGGCACTGTCCTCCCCGCGCTGCGAGGCTGGAGTGGGGTTCTTCATCACGCCTGCGGGTGGGATGGGAAGCGCTGTGGCTGTGGCCCCTGGGTGTGACCCCAGGAGGCTGCCTCCAGCCACCACAGCATGGAGTGCCCTGTGGACAGCAGGGGCAGAGACCTGCAAGTAGGGGGTGGGGCCTGTACCTGTTGCACCATAGTCCCATGTCTATTCCCACAGGGCCTGTGGAGTTGAAGGCTTCGGCAGGCTCTGGGGTATGGGAAGTGGGTATGGAATGCTCAGGGTAAAGAGAGGGTAGAAAGGAAGCCCATCAGGGCCGGCGCTGTGGCGTAGCGGGTAAAGCCGCTGCCTGCAGTGCTGGCATCCCATATGGGCGCCGGTTCAAGTCCTGGCTGCTCCACTTCCAATCCAGCTCTCTGCCATGGCCTAGGAAAGCAGTAGAATATAGCCCAAGTCCTTGGGCCCCTGCACCCACATGGGAGACCCAGAGGAAGCTCTTGGCTCCTGGCTTTGGATCAGCCCAGCTCCAACCATTGTGGCCAATTGGGGAGTGAACCAGCAGATGGAAGACCTCTCTCTCTTTCTCTCTGCCTCTCCTTCTCTCTGTGTGTAACTTTCAAATAAAATAAATACATTAAAAAAAAAAAAAAAAAAAAGAAGAAGAAGAAGAAGAAGGAAACCCATTGGGGCCGGCGCTGTGGCATAGCAGGTGAAGCCATGCCGGCATCCCATATTAGAGCGCCGGTTCGAGTCCCGGTTGCTCCACTTCCAATCCAGCTCTCTGCTATGGCCTGGGAAAGCAGCGGAAGATAGCCTAAGTCCTTGGACCCCTGCACCCACATGGGAGACCTGGAAGAAGTTCCTGGCTCCTGGCTTTGGACTGGTGCAGCTCCGGCTATTGCGGCCAATTGGGGAGTGAACCAGCAGATGGAAGACTCTCTCTCTCTCTCTCTCTCTGCCTCTCTGCCTCTCCTTCTCTCTCTGTGTAACCCTGACTTTCAAATAAATAAATCTTTTTTTTTTTTTAAAAGGAAACCCATCACAGGTCAGGATCAGGGAGCCAGGAGCTAGGAAACCACAGTTGTCAGGAAAAGGGAAGAGAGCAGAGAGAAGATGAGGTGGGAGCTGTTTCAGATCCCAGACAAAGGGGCTGCTGTGGAGAGAGCTGAGGTGAGAGGAAGGAGTTTGTCTTAGGGAGGGCTGTAGGTCGGACAGGAGGGGCCCACACACCAGGGTGGAAAGGGCCACGAGGGGCCTGAGAAGTGGCTTCTCCTAAGGGATGTGGGCACCAGGGACACCGAGGGGCTGGGGCTTGTGTAGAGGGATCCGCCAGGCTGGACCTGAGGACCCCGGGAGATGCCACCTGTGACAGGGGCAATCCCTGGGGTGGAGCTGCATCCGGGCCACGGTGAGGGCTCTGGTGCCCCCAGACTCTGCATGCCATGTGGCCGAGCAGACACACACCCCACACTCCATAGCCGCCTCCCCGCCGCCTGCTGGGGAGTGCAGCCCCACGGCCACTCACCAGGCGCTGCTGCCCCGGATGGCTCCTCACACAGGGTCCTCGGCAGCGTCTGCTCCCACGTAGCCCAGTTCATTTCTCCCACCCTGAGGGCGACAGGGCGGCTCTGAGGCTCCTGGAAGCTGCCTTGCAGTCTGCTTCTCTCGGCCTCCCATGCGGGCGACACAGCGCACACAACAGCAAGGCTTTACCCAGAGCCCGTCCTGCTGCCCCCAGCCAGGCACCCGCACACAGCACTGGCACAGCACCCACCCCTCTGCTGTTCACAGCCGCACCCAGGGAAGAGTGACTACAATCAGCTGTGTCTTGGTCACGTGCCTTAGACTCCCTGTCTTGTTCACCTGCTGCCCCAAAGTGTCTGTTTCAGGCTGTGTATTTGTCACCAGGTTCCCTCTCCCTAAGCCGGGGCTTTCCCTGGCATGGCAGGGCTTGTTCTCAGGGGAAGGAGTTAGATCAGGCTGGGGGGACAGTTGGGGGTGGGGGTAGAACGCAGAGCAGCCAGGGCAAGGCTGGTGTGCTGGCACCCTGCAAGTCATTCTGGCTGCTTGACAAGAACGAGGGGTCGGGGTCACCAGGGAGGCACCTTCAGACTAAGCCAATAGAACAGGCAGTGGCCGCTGTGGGCCTGGAAGATCCAGCATCCTGGACTTCACCTGCCCCCCAGGGCAGTCCCTGGCCACTCACGCCCTTCCCAGCAGCCCTAGCTCCCAGCAGTGGTCCCCTGGTTTTCAGGAGCAAAAGGCAGGACTGCGCCACAGGTGGGCCCCAGGGAGTCCCAGGTTGCCAAGGCTCCAGCCACCCTCCCCGCCCCACCACCCTCGCTCACCTAAAGCACCAGCGCTCATCAGGGCTGCCGTCCGGCCTGGTGCCCACTGTCAGCATCACGCCTGCCCGCTGCTTCTTCCTCCTGCACCACCAGTAGCCATTCTCCATCTCCAGGACAGAGATAGCTTTCTGGGGACAAAGGACGCATCAGAGAGAGGTGCCTGGGCCCCTGCCCGGAGGAAGACATGCACGGGAAAGAGACACCACAGCATTCCGCAGTCTTGGAATCTGGCTCCAATGTCTCAGCACCTACACCTCAGTTTCCCCTTTTGGAGACAGCGTAAGGTACCCCAGCAGGTGGTGGGGAAGTCGGCAGGGAGCAAGCACCTGAGAGTGACTCGTTCTTATCCTGTCACAGGCTCCAGAATCCCACACCAGCAGGTGCCTCTGCCCCACCACACACACGTGCCTGCCTCCTTGCACAGGTGAGGGACCAGGCTCGGAGAAGAAGCTTGCCCAGTGTCAGCAGTGAATCAATAGCAAAGTCCCAGTCTCCCCCACACAAGGCTGTCCCAGTGCTGACTGCCCAAGATCCACCCAACCCTTCTCTAGAAAAAGTAGCTATGGAGCACGGGTTAAGCCATTGCCTGCCACGCCAGCATCCCACATGGGCACCAGTTTGAGTCCCGGCTGCTCTGCTTCCATCTCTGCTGTGGCCTGGCAAGGCAGCAGAAAATGGCCCATGTCCTTGGGCCCCTGCACCCACATCAGAGACCCAGGTGGATTCCAGGCTCCTGGCTTCAGCCTAACCCAGCCCTGGCAGTTGTGGCCATTTGAAATGAACCAGCAGATGGAAAGTATCTCTCTCTGTCTCTCCCTGCACCCCCATCACTCTGCCTTTCAACTAAACAAAATAAAAGCAGGAGAAGATGGCCAAAGTCCTTGGGCCCCTGCACCCGCATGGGAGACCTGGGGGAAGCTCCTGGCTCCTGGCTTCAGATCAGCGCAGTTCCGGCTGTTGCGGCCAACTGGGGCGTGAACCAGCAGATGGAAGACTCTCTCTCTCTCTCTCTCTCTCTCTCTCTCTCTCTGCCTCTCCTTCTCTGTGTAACTCTGACTTTCAAATAAATAAAATAAATATTTAAAAATAAATAAATAAGTAAATAAATAAATTTCCAGGAAGAAAAACAGAGGTAGCTAATGCCTGTGCTGTGCCAGGGGCTCTCATCAGTACCTCTGCTATTGGGGACTCTTCTCTCTCAGGCTGGGCCAGCCCCAAGACACCACCTCCCCACCAAACCGACCCCCTTTAATGCATGTACAGCACAGAACGGGAGCTCCATGAGGGCCAAGCCTTTGCCTCGTTCTCCGCTGTGTGTGTAACACCTGGAACCATGCATAGCCCTCCATGCATAGCACGCAGGCACACCTGATAAAAAAATGAAGATGATGACGACTCACTGAGCACCTACTGTGCACCAGGCACAGATGCGAGCCCCGGGCATCTGTGAGCTCACCCGATCCTTCCAGTAACCCCACAAAGGGAAGAATGGGTGAGGGAGTCTGGGGGTGGCCTGCCTGCTGAGCTAGGCCTACCCCACCCCATTGGGTGCGGAGCCCGAGCCTTGGGCGGGGAGCCCGGCAGGTGGCACCTGCAGCTTCCAGATGCTCCAGCTGTCAGTGGCGACGCTGTTGACGGTCTCGCTCATGAGGGCAATGAGCATGTTGAGCAGCAGCACGTAGGTGAGCAGCACGTAGGCCAGCAGCAGCAGCAGCACCACCCCGCGGAAGCGCAGCTGCTCCTGGAAGGCCAGCTCGCCCATGCCGATGGTGAACTTGAACAGCTCCAAGGAGGCGTCCAGGATGCTGCGGTAAGGGGGTGCCTCGTCCTCCTGCCCCGCGCCAGGCTGGCCCACCTCTGTGGCGTTGGGGCCTGCGGGGGTCCTAGAGTTCTGGGCCTCCCGGCTCAGGCTCACCAGGGCTGTGAGAGGGAGGCAGGGGGAGGTCCTTAGGCTGGGGTGACCAGCAGGTGGCTTGAAGGGGCACAGGGTAGGCAGGGGGTAGCGGGGGAAGGGGCTGGAGGGAGCTTTTACCTACAGCAAAGCCGAAAAGGAAGACTAAGTAGACCAGAAGGAAGCGGAGCAGGTCCCGCAGGATGACCTGGAACACACGGGCCCAAGTGCCAGGGTAGGTGACTGGGCCACTGTGCACAACCCCAGAGCATGGCTCCTATGTACACCCACCCCCTACCCACAACAGAGTGCACACACAAGCCCTGTGGAGTCACACTAAGCAGTGGGGGAGGGGTGGTCTTTTTAAAAATATCAGATCACGGGCCAGCGCCGTGGCTCACTTGGCTAATCCTCGGCCTTCGGCGCTGGAATCCCATATGGGCACTGGGTTTTAGTCCTGGTTGCCCCTCTTCCAGGCCAGCTCTCTGCTGTGGCCCAGGAAGGCAGTGGAGGATGGCCCAAGTGCTTGGGTCCTGCACCCGCATGGGAGACCAGGAGAGGCACCTGGCTCCTGGCTTCAGATCAGCGCAGCGCGCCGGCTGTAGCAGCCATTTAGGGGGTGAACCAACGGAAGGAAGACCTTTCTGTCTCTCCCTCTCACTGTCTGTAACTCTACCTGTCAAATGAATAAATAAAAAAAAAATCTTAAAAAGAAATATCAGATCACATGGGTTGGCATGTGGCCCAGCAGGTTAAGCTGCTGCCTGTGCCATCGGCACCCCACATGAGCTCTGATTCAAGATCTCACTGCTCTGCTTCCAATCCAGCTCCCTGCTAATGCACCTGGGAAGGCAGCAGAAGATGGCCCAAGGGCTTGGGCCCCTGCCATCCATATGAGAGACCTGGGTGGAGTTCCAGGCTCCTGGCTTATTGCAGCCATTTAGGGAACAAACCAGCAGAAAGATCTTTCTCTCCCTATCTCTCTGTCATTCTGCCTTTCAAATAAGTAAAATAAATCTTTTTAAAATTTTTTCTGGGGCTGGCGCTGAGGCAGGGGGTCAGAGCCATGGCCAGGGTTTCTTGGCAAGAGCAAGGACTGAAGGTTCCCCTGCTGTGGCATAGTGGGTGGAGCCACCGCCTGCAGTGCTGGCATCCCATATGGGTGCCAGTTTGAGTCCTGGCTGCTCCACTTCCAATCCAGCTCTCTGCTATGGCCTGGGAAAGCAGTAGAAGATGGCCTAAATCCTTGAACCCCTGCACCCATATGGGAGACACAGAAGAAGCCCCTAGATCCTGGCTTCAGATCAGCCCAGCTCCAGCTATTGCGACCATCTGGGGAGTGAACCAGTGGATGAAGACCTCTTTCTTTCTCCCCCCTCCCCCCCGTCACTCTGCCTTTCAAAAAAAAAAATAGATCTTTTTTTAAAGTGTATTTATGAAAAAACTGTGCATGGATTTCAAAAAATTTCTTGTACCAAAATAAACTCCCAAATGACCAAATGTCCAAGGCTGGACCAGGCTGAAGCCAGGAGCCTGGAACTTCATCTGTGTCTCCCATGTGGGTGGAGGGACTCAAGTACTTGGGCCATTATCTGCTGCCTTCCCTGGCGCATTAGCGGGGAGCTGGATCAAAAGCAGAGCGGCTGGGACTCCAAACGAGCGCTCTGACTTGGGATGCCAGTGTGGCCGCTGCCCACAATGCCAGCACCCCCACTAACGTTTTGAAGTCCTCTCAGCGTTGTTTCATCATGGGTTAAGCCGCCACCTGGGATGCTGGCATCCCATGTGAGCAGTGGTTCGAGTCCCAGATGCTCTATTTCCAATCCAGCTCCCTGCTAATAGGCCTGGGAAAGCAGTGGAGGATGGCCCGAGTGCTTGGGCCCCCGCACCCATGTGGAGACCCGGATGAAGCTCCTGGCTCCTGGCTTTGGCCTGGCCCAGCTCCGGTTATTGCTGCCATTTGGGGAGTGAATTATCAGATGGAAGATCTCTCTGTCTCTGTCTCTGTAACTCTGCCTTTCAAATAAATAAAATAAATCTTTTTTTAGATTTATTTATTTATTTATTTATTTCAAAGGCAGAAATATAGGGAGGCAGAGAGAGAAAAAGAGACAGAGAAAGTGAGAGGTCTTCCATCCACTGGTTCACTCCCCAAATGACCGCAATGGCTGGAGCTGGGCTGATCCAAAGCCAGGAGCCAGGAGCTTCTTCCAGGTCTCCCATGCAGGTGCAGGGACCCAAGGACTTGGGCCATCTTCTACTGCTTTCCTAGGCCATAGCGGAGAGCTGGATCGGAAGTGGAGCAGCCGGTACTTGAACCAGCGCCCGTATGGAATCCCAGCACTGTAGGCGGCAGCTTTACTCACTACACCACAGCGCCAGCCCTCCAAAAATCAATCTTTAAAAAACCAAAGGTCCTCAGATGTGTTTACGGATATCTCCACACATGCTCGCACGTGAGCCAACCTCCACTGAGAGTCCAGGAGCACGAAGGACACACGGACTAGCTCGGACCCTCCCCTGCCCAGGTTAGCCATGCAGGGCGCCTCCTGCTGCTCAGGCTGCTGGGTGGCCCTGTCTGTCACCTTCTGGATCATGACGCTGTAGATGCCGGTGTGCTGAAAGCCACGTGTGTAGTACAGCAGGTTCAGCCAGCCCAGCACCAGCGAGGACACCAGCAGGGGCAGGTACCACTCGATGGCCAGGAAGCACAGCACTTGGGACAGCACCGTGAGCAGGGCTTGGAGCAGGCTGTCGGGGGTGGGGGGACAGGGTCCGAGTTGGCTTCCAGGTCATGTGGCAGTGTCTCCCCAGCTCCCACCCTGGCCTCTCCCACTGCAGTGAGGTGACTTGAGGTGCCCTCCGTTGTCTGTCTGGGACTGGACCCAGTGGGGCCCGACCTCCATCTCACACAAATTATTTAATTTCTGGGGGCTCAGCTCCCTCCCCCACCCGGCCCCCTTCAAATGAGGCACTACATGGACAGAGGCTGGGCTCCGTGGACTACTAGGATGGGAGCAGGAAGGGCCCCCCTGGCTGGACAGCGGCCCAGGCTCCCAGGTCCTGATCCCCTGAATCCTGCAAAGTCAGCCTGGCGCCCTCTGCTGCACCTGCCCACCCCCCCAGGCCTCAGAAACAGCAGAAGGGGCTGGGGGCTGGGGGTGGGGGTGGGGATAGGGAGGAGTGGGGCCCCACGTACAAGAGGATTTCAAAGTAGCTGTCCATGAAGGAGATCCAGATGAACAGGCGGCGGCGCCAGAAGTACCAGAGCTGCAGAGGGTACGGGACAGAAGCTGTGAAACAAGGCCGGCTCCTGCTCCCCAGGGCCCATGCCCCGGCCCCGCCCCCTGCCCCCTGCTCCACTGCAACAAAGCAGCAGCTTCGACTCCGGGTGGGGCACTTCCGAATCCTGCCCGGAGCGGAGAGGGCTCTGGACACTCTTCTCCGCAGGTTCCAACTCCTTTCCCTCTGCCTCCTCATGGCCTTGCAAGATGCAGCTGTCCCCCTCCCCTCCAGCCAACCTCCAGACCAAGGCCCGCCCCCTCCAGACGGCCCAGTGTGTTGGTGTTCAGCCTGGCTCGTGCAAGCTTGCAGCACCTCCACCAAAAGATGTCCTGCTGGAGGAGTCTTTGGAGCACTGCCCCCCACCCCCACCCCAGGCTTCTGTGTTCCCCAGGGGGAGAGACCCGGGAACAGGGACTTCCAGCTGCACTGCCAAGGAGTCCCAGGTGCCCCAGGAAGCACAGCAGGAGGGAACCAGGGCCTGGAAGGCAAGACCAGAACCATGGTCCTCAACTCCCCCGAGTCTGGTCAGTCTGCCTGGAGCTGAGTGTGAGTCAGGTCCCCATGGAAGAAGGGCCGTGGCTAACTTGTCCCCCTCCTCGTCAGCTGGGAGCTGGGTAGAGTCGGGAGATGGCAGGGGAGGGGATCCTCACCTGTCCTAGGAGGAGGTAGACGCCCCCGAGCAGGATCAGAATGTGGCCCAGAAGCAGCATGGAGTTCCCGGCTGTGGCTTTCAGGGGTGGGAAGCCCTGCTAAAAACACACTCAGATAAGACCTGGGGGTGGGGGAGGGTCTCGCCAAGGGCTCACCCACTGAGAGCAGGGGCCCAGGGAAGTCCGTTCTGAGCCTGAGCTGGGGAACACGGATGCCAGGGAAGGGACACCCCCCTGGTGCTAATCCTCAGAGGGGCACGTTGTGCAGCAGTTGCGAACGTGGGGCCTGCCTGGGTTCAGATTCCGTCTCCACTACTGAGAGCCTGTGTGGCCCTGGAGAAGTTACTTAAGCTCTCAGTGCAATCTAAGGATGGTAACTTCATCATCTCAGAGGGTTGCTGTGAGCATTAGGTAGTCAGGACACGTCACTTCGAGTACATTCTCACGGTGAGCCCTCAGTAAGGTGAACTTGGTATTGTGAGCCGTCTACAGGAGCTTGGGGCCTCCCAAGCAGCCCAGGCCTCCGTGTGAACCTTAGCAGGACGGGGCTGGGGCTCCCCCAGGGCATGCCCTTCCCCATCCTTGCCTTCTCCAGGGCTGGCTGGTGGTAGGCCACGGCGGTGAAGATGAGCATGTAGACCAGGTAACACAGGAAGTTGAAGCAGAACCTGGGGATGAGCCGATCCCATTTCGCCTGCAGCAGCTTGTTGAGAGGCTCCAAAACCACCATGCGGTGGCGGTGCTGGCACAGGAAGGGGAGAGCCACGGCACGTTCAGCACAGATAGATGGGGCACTCACTTCACATTCAGGCCCGATGTGAGGGCCGGGGTGGGAGGGGTGGGATGGAGGACAGAGGATGGGGAGCCCTCCTCCCCCAACCTCTACCCAAAACCCCACGGCTATGGAGTGACCCAGAGAGGCCCCCGTGGCTGTCATAGGGCGCCTGTGGCATGATCCCCGAGTTGGGAGGGCATGAAGTGGGGAAGTGTTGGGGGTCATGCCTGCTGGGACGTTACAGCCACACCACAGGGTAGGTGTGGTCCAGGAGGCAACCCTGCCCAACCCTTGTGGTGGACCCTCTTGGGAGCTCGGCCGGGCCCTCTGGGCACAGGTATGCCTCTGCAGGCTCACCGGGCTCCTGGAATGAAAGGCGATGATCTCCAGCACGGAGTTCTCCTCCCAGCTGTCCACAGAGGCCAAGTCGTACAGTGACACCCGGACGGGCCCGTAGCACCACTCAGTGAACTTTCGAGAAAGGGACTGGCACGGGGCCGAGAACTCCCGCTGCAAGATGTGCTTGAAAATCTACAAGGCGGCCATGTGAGCTTGCCGGCTGGGCCAAGGCTGGGAAACACCCAGCCCCCGCCCCCGTGGAGAGCTGCCCTCGGGCTGCGGCAGTCATGTGCGCATCCCCGCGTGCTTAGCACAAGGCAGACTTCACCCACCACTAACTACCCACATTTGCCCCAGCTGGCCAACCAGCCTGGTTCCCACTGCCCAGCCCCAGCCCTGTGGCCCTCTTTCCTGGACTCCTCGGGGGCATAGGGACCCCCCCCCCAACCCAGAGTCACCCAGGTTCCTTGAGATCAACTAATAGCGATATAGGTGTGCATATTTCTGCGGTCAGAGTCCAGCACTTTCAACAGGCTGAAAAGGGACCCTTAACCCAAGTGGGTTCACAAACAAGGAATTGGGCAGGGACGGGGCGGGTACAGATTGGGCAGCTTCCATGGCCACATAGCTGTAGATGACAAAGTGGGGCTCATGTGCCCCAGAGGGTGCTCCAGGAAACTCAGGGTGCCACTATTTTTTTTTTTTTATCAGGCAGAGTGGACAGTGAGAGAGAGAGACAGAGAGAGAAAGGTCTTCCTTTGCCGTTGGTTCACCCTCCAATGGCCGCCGCTGCAGCCGGCGCACCGCGCTGATCCGATGGCAGGAGCCAGGATCCAGGTGCTTTTCCTGGTCTCCCATGGGGTGCAGGGCCCAAGCACCTGGGCCATCCTCCACTGCACTCCCTGGCCATAGCAGAGAGCTGGCCTGGAAGAGGGGCAACCGGGACAGAATCCGGCGCCCCGACTGGGACTAGAACCCGGTGTGCCAGCGCCGCAAGGTGGAGGATTAGCCTATTGAGCCACGGCGCCGGCCCAGGGTGCCACTATTAAAACATCCATCTCTGTTTATTTTTATCTTCACCTTGCAAAATGCTCGTACTCTAAGCACTGGCCCTGTGTAACTGCACAGATGAAGCCAGACCTCACAACCACGCCCAGGCAACTGGTAAAAGTCATTTGGAAACAAAGAGCTGGATCGTGCGAACTCTTTCCACCAAAATAACTTCCAAGTGAATCACAGTTGGAGGCATTAAAAATAAAACCGCTGAAATTGAGATGGTAACATGGATATGCAAATATACAATCACATACCTAATTATACAGAATATACAATAATTACATTAGATGAGAGTATTTCAAAAATCTCATGAAAACAATGGAATTAAAAGACACATTTAGAAGCAGGCTTTGTGGTGCAGCAGGTTAAGCCACCACACCTCATATCGGAGGGCCTGGGATCAAGTCCTACCCCTGCCTTCACATCCAGCTCCCTTCCAACGCACCAGGGAAACAGAGGATGATGGCCCAGGTACTTGAGTCCCTGCCAATCATGTGGGAGACCCGGATGGAGTTCTTGGCTCTTGGCTTCAGCCTGACCCAGCCCCAACTGTTAAGAGGATGAAAGATCTCTTTCTGTCTCTCTGTTTTTGTCACTCTGCCTTTCAACTGAATAAACATTAATTGAAAAAGAGATGGTTTTTTGTACAGATAACTTTTTGCACAGTAAGCATTTGGCACAGTGGTTAAGATGCAGCTTGGGGGGCCAGCACGGTGGCATAGTGAGTAAAGCCGCCACCTACAGTTCCGGCATCCTATATGGGTGCTGGTTTGGGTCCTGGCTACTCCGCTTCCAATCCAGCTCTGCTATGGCTTGGGAAGGCAGTAGAAGATGGCCCAAGTCCTTGGGCCCCTGCACTCGCCTGGGAGACCTGGAATAAGCTCCTGGCTTCGGATCGGCACAGCTCCAGCTGTTGCGGCTATCTGGGGAGTGAACCAGAGGATAGAGGACCCTTCTTTCTCTCTCTCTCTCTCTCTCTCTCTGTCTGCCTCTTCCTCTCTCTCTATGTAACTCTGACTTTCAAGTAAATAAATAAATCTCTTTTTTTTTTTTTTTTGACAGGCAGAGTGGACAGTGAGAGAGAGAGACAGAGGTCTTCCTTTGCCGTTGGTTCACCCTCCAATGGCCGCCATGGCTGGTGTGCTGTGGCCGGCGCACCGCGCTGATCCGATGGCAGGAGCCAGGTACTTCTCCTGGTCTCCCATGGGGTGCAGGGCCCAAGCACTTGGGCCATCCTCCACTGCCTTCCCGGGCCACAGCAGAGAGCTGGCCTGGAAGAGGGGCAACCGGGACAGAGTCCGGCGCCCCGATCGGGACTAGAACCCGGTGTGCCGGCGCCACAAGGCGGAGGATTAGCCTAGTGAGCCGCGGCACCGGCCAATAAATAAATCTTTAAAAAAAAAAAAAAAGGATGCAGCTTGACACGTCACATGTCAGAGTCCTGGCTACTCTGCTTCTGATGCAGCTTCTTCCTAATGCATACCCTCGGGCGCAGCAGATCATTATCAGGTACTCGGGTCCCCACAGCTCCCATGGGAGATCTAGACTGAGTTCTGAACTCCTAACTTCAACCTCCCCCAGCCCTAGGGTGTCACTGGTATGTGAGGAATAAGCCAGCAGATGAGAGATCTCTCTCCATCTGTCTCTCTGTATCTCCATCTCTCTGCCTTTAAATAAAGTGAAAATAAATAAGTAAAATTGTTTAAAAAAAAGCTTATATTGGTGCAAAAGTAACTTTAAAATTCACGCATAATTTTTTCACTATATACATTTTTCATGAACTTTCTTTTTCTTAGAGATTTATTTATTTGAAAGGTAGATCTAGTGCTGGCACTGTGGCATAGCAGGTAAAGCCACCTCCTGCACTACTGGCATCACATATGGGTCCCGGTTTGAGTCCTAGCTGCTCCACTTCTGGTCCAGCTCTCTGCTATGGCCTGGGAAAGCAGTAGAGGATGGCCCAAGTCCTTGGGACCCTGTACCCACGTGAGAGATCCGGAAGAAGCTCCTGGCTCCTGGCTCTGGCCAATGCAGCCATCTAGGGAGCAAACCAGCAGATGGAAGCCCTCTCTCTCTCTCTCTCTCTCTCTCTGTATAACTCTGCCTTTCAAATAAATAAATAAATCTTTAAAAGAGAGAGAGAGAGAGAAGAAGGGTAGATCTACAGAGAGAGAGGGAGAGAAAGAGATCTTCCATACACAGGATCACTTCCCAGATGGCCACAACAGCCAGGTCAGGATCAGGCCAAAGCCGGTACCAGGGACTCCATGTAGTCTCCTTTGTGGGTGCAGGGGCCCAAATTCTTGGGCCATCCACTGCTGCCTTCCCAGGCACATTAGCAGGGAGCTGGATCAGAAGTGCAGCAGCCAGCACTCAAACCACTATGGGATGCTGGTGCCATAACCAGCGGCTTAACTCTCTGTGCCACAAGGTAGGCCCCTTTCATGAACTTTCTGAAGTGCCCACGTACCAGAAGTGCACACGGAAAACTGTCTACTAATAAGGGCATGTGTATGAGTAAGTGGAGAGACCTCTATCTTGACCACCCGTCCAGGTGCTTTCTGTAGAAATGTTGGGGTGAGTCCTGCTCCCGCCTGGAGGGGTGGGGAAGGGATGGGGTGCTCCACTCACCTCGATTTTTCCCTCCTTGGCAGCCAGCTTCAGGGGTGTGAGGCCCTCAAGGTTGGGGATGCCCTCCAGCTGCACGTTGGGGCAGAGGCGGGCCCCTGCCTGCAGCAGCCCGTCATACATGCGGACCACCAGGGCGCTGTTCTCGGCCGAGTCGTCGGCGATCATCACCAGGGCGTGCAGCACTGTGTTGCCCAGGGAGTCCTGGGCCTGCAGGCTGGCGGGCTGGTGCGGGTTCTCCAGGAGGTAGTTCACCACGTCCCACTGCTTGGTGCATGCGGCCAGAGAAAGGGGCAGCTCGCCTGCAGGCCGAGGGGGGCAGCTTGGGCCTTGGGCCTCCCGGCTGCCCCCCGCCAGCTCTCCCAGCTGCTCAGACTGGGTGTAGAACAGCAGCCAACCAATCAAGGGTCCTATCTCGCCCGCCTCACTCTCTCATCTTTGCCAGAGCCTGGGTGCACTGCCTGGTCCAGTCTTAATGCACTCGAGTTCTAACAGCCCACTGCCCTCCAGAGTCTCAGCCTGGAAACATGCCGAACCTTCTGGGCCAGACGCAGATAAAACATCTCTTAAGACAAATGGCTTTTGCAGGCAGCTGGTGGTTAAAAGCGGGGCGTTGGGGGTATATAGACCAGGGTTTAAGTGCCAGCTTTGCCACACACTAACCACATGACCTTGAACAAGGTCACCTTCTGTGCCTCAAATTAGTCGAGAAAGGCTCACTCACCAAAATAGAAGCAGGTGTCTTGGTTCTTCTGGAAGAAGTGCCCACAGGCCTTGGCGTGCACATTGGCTCCATTCTCCACCAGGAGTTTCACGCACTGCAGGCTCCTCTTCTCGATGGCAATGTGCAGGGCGCTGTGGCCTCGGTAGTACTCATCCGTGCACTGGGCGTTCACCAGGGGCTGGGGATTGCCAGAGTCCCTGTCAATCTCCAGCAGCGGCTGGATGCAGGCGTTGACCCCATCCTGAAGATTCAGCACTGCCTTCATCAGACACGTCTTCCCCGTGGAGCCCTCTGTGGGAAACAGGGAGAGGAGGGGGCACTGCTGTGGACAGGCCCGGAGCAGCTGGGCTGCCTGCCAGCTCATACAGCAAGCCCAGCCTCCAAAGTACCCCTTGGGAGGATAAAAAAAGATCGCTGCACATGCTGGTAGGAACACAGCCATGCTGCAGGGAATTAGGCTCCAGGCGATGAGCATTCAAATACCAACAAGGGCAGGCATCAAGCTGGTTAAGAGCCAGTTAAGATACCCAAGTCCCACATGGGAGTAGCTGGGTTTAAGTCCCAACTCCAGCTCCTGATTCCAGCTTCCTGCTAATGCAGATTCGAGGAGGCATGGAGATGGCTCAAGTAGTCGGGTTCCCTGCTACCCACATGGGAGACCTGGATTGAGTTCCTGGCTCTCAGCTCTGGCCCTGGCCTATTCCTGGCCATTGTGAGCATTTCAGCAGTAAGCCAGGAGACAGGAACTCTCTCCGTGTCTCTGTTTCTGTCTCTCTCTCTTTGCCTCTCAAATAAACAAGTAAAAATTAAGATTAACTATCAGCAGGCATGACTACAGTTTCTGCCCTTCAAGTAACAATGTCGACACAAGAGCAGTATCTGTAAGTGGATCCCCGACTTTGTGGCTTTCTCTCTTCCAGCGTGTTGCTTGGCTTCTGCTAACCTCAGTTTTCCTCACTGTAAGATGGGACTATTTCAGGGTTATCACTGTTAGAATTAAGTGGAGGGCCGGCGCACGGCTCACTAGGCTAATCTTCCGCCTTGCGGCGCTGGCATACCTGGTTCTAGTCCTGGTCGGGGCGCCGGATTCTGTCCCGGTTGCCCCTCTTCCAGGCCAGCTCTCTGCTGTGGCCAGGGAGTGCAGTGGAGGATGGCCCAGGTGCTTGGGCCCTGCACCCCATGGGAGACCAGGAGAAGCACCTGGCTCCTGGCTTCGGATCAGCGCGGTGTGCCGGTGGCAGTGCGCCGGCCACGGCGGCCACTGGAGGGTGAACCAACGGCAAAGGAAGACCTTTCTCTCTGTCTCTCTCTCTCTCACTGTCCACTCTGCCTGTCAAAAAATAAAAAAATTAAAAAAAGAACCAAGTGGAGTAATATAAACATAGTGGTTAGTACACAGAGGGCCTCACACACAGCAAAGTTGAGGCCAGAAAATATAAACAACCTAAATGACCACCGACAGTGAACTGGTTAACCGAATTATAGTAAATCTACACAGTGCAAAACTAGTTTGCGGTTGTTAAAATGACCGAATTGGAGCCAGCGTTATGGTGCAGCGGGTTAAGCCACTCACTGCCTGCAACACCAGCGTCTCATATCAGAGTGCCAGTCTGAGTCCTGGCTGCTTCGCTTCCCATCCAGCTCCCTGCTAATGCGCCTGGGAAATCAGCCGAAGATGGCCTAAGTGCTTGGGTCCCTGCCACCTATGTGAGAAACCTGAGTGGAGCAACTGGCTCCTGGCTTCAGCCTGGCCCAGCCCCAGCCGTTGTAGCCATTTGGGGAAGTGATGGAGAATCCGGATCTCTCTCTCTCTCTCTCTCTCTCTCTGCCTTTTGAATAAATAAAAAAAGCTTTTAAAAAAACTAAATGAGTTGGATGTATACTGACCTGGAAAGTGCTACAAGATGTGGGGAGGAGAAGTGCCCTATAACTTGGTGTATGTGGCAAGACCCCATTCATGTAAATGCAAATACTTCAGAAGTTCATGGAAGTGGAATCAAATGACAACATGCATTTTCCATGAACTTTTAAAAGATGATTAAAAATTATCTTTGAGAGGCAAAGAGAGTCAGAGACAACTCCCATCTCCTGGGTCACTCCCCTAAATTCCTGCAATGACCCAGGACTGGACTCAGCCCAGGCCTACGGCATGGGTGGCAGGAACGCAATTACGTAAGCCATCATCACTGCCTCCCAGGTGTGCATTAGCAGGGTGCCAGTTCAAGTCAGGAGCCAGAGTGGGGAATCAAACTGAGATAGGCTGATGTGGGAGGTGGGCCTCTTAACCACTAGGTAGAGACCCACTCCTTCCACAAACTTTTCTAAGTACTCCTATAAACCTATTTATTAAGAAAGTTCAAGAAGATGTATTCCAAACCATTAACAGGGACCCAGGGTGACAGGTATACCTCTTCTTGATTCATTTCTTTACTGTTTGAATTGTCCAGAGTGCACACACTTTTAGCCCTAAAACGAAGGCTTTGAGATTCGGGGCAAGGAGTGGTCTTACTGGGAGAAGTGTTTTATGTGTTATATACTGCATTTCAACAACACTGTTATTAAAAGGAAGAAGGGGGCTGGCACTGTGGCACAGAAGTTTAAGTCTGTCTGCAGTGCCGGCATCCCATATGAGTGCCAGTTCGAGTTCCAGCTGACCCACTTCCAATCCAGCTCCCTGCCAATGCACCTGGGAAAGCAGCAGAAGATGGCCCAAGTTCTTGGGCCCCTGCACCCACATGGGAGATCTGGGTGAAGCTCCTGGCTCATGGCTTTGGCCTAGCCCAGCCCTGGCCATTACGGCCATTTGGGAAGTGAATCAGTGCATGAAGATCTCTATCTCTCTCTTTCTGCTTATTTATTTGAAAGGCTGAGTTACAGAGAGGCAGAGGCAGAGAGAAAGAGAGAGTGATCTGTCCGCTGGTTCTCCCCAAATGGCCGGAGCTGAGATGATCCAAAGTCAGGAGCCAGGAGCTTCATCCGGGTCTCCCATGTGGGTGCAGGAGCCCAAAGACTTGGGCCATCTTCCACTGCATTCCCAGCCCTAGCAGAGAGCTAGATCAGAAGTGGAGCAGCTGGGACTTGAACCAGCACCCATAAGGAATGCTGGCACTACAGGCAGTGGCTTTACCCGCTACCCCACAGCGCCAGCCCTCAATAAATATATTTTTAAAAAAAGAATAATAATAACAATAGGAATCTTTTAAGTATCCATTCCACCACCAAAATGGGCGAGGAGAGCAGAGGTAGACTGGGCACCCAGTGGGATCAGAAAGTGGGAGGTACAGCCTTGGCAGTCAGGGGGACTGACCTCCATCAGCTTCACCCACAGCACCCCAGCAGCCACTCCAGCAGGAGAGCTACTAAGAACACTCGCCCCTCAACCCCTAACCATGGCCCAGGCCCACCCAGTCAGCCCAGCCGTCAGCCCACAGGACTCGAGCCCAAAGGGTGCCCCGGGGCGGGGTACCTGTGTACTCTGAGTCGGTGAGGTACTTGCTGGTCCGGCGTAGATACTCTAGTAGCCCGGCCAGATCCTCGGGGTTGCCCCGGGCAACCACGTTGAAGAGCCGGTCACGGTCAAAGCGATTCAGGTCCGGCTGGCTGTGGAGGATGGATTTCGTGACTTATGGTGGGGAAGATTCCAGGCTGCCTACAAAGTCCCCGGTTTCAGGGTGCCCTGTGGGAGCCCTTCTGGGGGCCTCAGCCTTCCCAAGGCAGACCAAGGGGACCCCCAAGTGCTCAGAGCCCCAGGAGGAGGACAGAGGACGTTTCTGAACTCCCCATCACCCCAGTCCTCACAGACGCTTAGCACCTGCCATGAAACAGCCTCTCTGCAACAGACTCCTTATGCCATGCGGTCGACTTCAGCACAGGCAATTGGACCGCTCTTGAACTTGAGTCTGGGTCTGCACGGAGCTGCATGCATCACTGGCTTTGAAGAAGGAATGGCGAAGAGCTCGCTCCTCCTCTCAGAAAGCCTGTGCTGACTCTTCACGGAGCCCTCCGCATCGTCCATCCTCACTTCAGCCCTCTGCACTGGGAGGCACTCTACTCCATTAGCTAACAGGCAAAGCAACTTGCCACAAAGTCGCTCCTGGCCTCTCCAGGGCTACCTCGCCATCCTGACTCCAACCCCCCAGAGAGAGTCCAGGCTGAGCCACAAGAGGTTTCTCAGGGCCAGCCTTGGAGGATCCCATGGGCCCAGTGCCAAAATGTATCAGACGCTGATGGAGAGTTACAGAGAAGCCAGGCTTCTGGGAAATTTATCCCAAAGGAGGGGTTTCGTGGCTCATCAGAGCCCAGCAGCATCTGGTGATAGGGAAGTGGAAGGGGAGGGGCTGTGGCACCCTACATAGGAGACAGCTCACCCCTGGGGCCCCTGGCATTGTGAGCAGCAGGCGTGAAGGAACAAAATGGGGGGTGTATTTGATGCTTTTGGGGATTGCCAGGTCCCCGCTAAATGAAGCCTGGGATCCTCCACTGCATGGGGTGACTGTTGAGTCAGTCGCGTTTTTAAGCTGCTTGGCTGTGAGCAGGTTGAGAGCCAGTCCCTGCTTCCTCAACACCAGGGCTGTCCTGCCCTGGCCTGGCCAAACATACTGTCCTCCATCCAGCAGGCCACGCGGCCACAGCACGACCATGAGGGCTCAGCTGCTGGCTTGGGAGCCTTATGGGCAATCGTCTGGGGGAAGTGGTCAGCTGGACAAAGCACTTCCGGTTACCACGGTGGTACATACTTCCGGGGTAGGGAGGTCCAAGGAGGGCACAGATTGAGGCTCCAGAGGGCACGGAGGGGCCTGTTCTGCCTCTGTTGGGCAGGCTCCACTGTTCCCAGAGCCCCTCGGGAACTCTGTCCTGCACTGGTGCTAAACCACACCACCACCATCCTCCAGCAAAAACAGCACAGGCGGCTCCAGCCTGGGACGCCAAGGCTGGTGGCTGCATCTCAAACATGAGGAAGGAGAAAGGGGGAAGAGGGGCCCTCCTGGGGTACCCAGCCATGTAGTACAGGCCCCATAGCAGGGCAAGGTCGAGGTGGGAGGCCAGGGGCAGCTTCGCATCTCCCCAGCAGGATTCCCATCAGGCGTAGTGGACTCACACACGGTCTGAACTGGCAGCAAGACGACAGAGAAATAAAGGGCAGGAGACTCCAGGTACAAGCCCATTGGGCCCACCCTGCTGAGTCCACATCCCCTGGGGTGGCCGCTTCGGCCTTGGGGCAGAAGCAAGGAGCACTGGATGTCTTGGAATCTCCCCGGTTGGTTGCAGCATGGATCCTGCTACCATCCCCCACAGGGAACATGACAGGAATGAGGGTCAGGGCACCCATAAGGGGGAACTGAGAGAAGTTGTGTAGTTAGCTGGAAGAATTGTGTCCCTGCTACGAAGAACATGGCCTCAGAGGGCAGAAAGCCAAGAATGAGGCCCATGAGAGCTGACCCAGGACACCACAGACTGTGGGGAAGGCACGCTAGTGCCGGGCTGGCCACTGCATCAGCCTTGGGGTGCTCTGCTGGAGCTGATCGGGGTCCCCTCTTGTCCCACCCCCATCTGCTGCTGCCTCACCTGGCACCCGCACCCTTTCTGTAGTTGAGGTTCACTTTGATCTGAGGAGGGAAGTTGCGGTCCTCGTCCTGGAACCGTGACTCCATGGGAGGCGGCCCCGCCCCATAGCCCAGCTGCGCCTTGTCCACCTCAGCGCCATCTTGGCCTCCATCTGACGTCTCCAGCCGGAAAGCTGGAGGGCTGGAGGGTGAGGTCATCCTAAGGCAAGGAGGTCGCTCTTGTGCAGATGAAGCCGTCAGGGGTCCCTCCTTCCTCCCAGCTCCTAGGTCCGGGTGGGCCTGGTGGCTGGGGCCTGCAGAAGGAGATGTTCAGAAGCTGCGTGTGAGAAGACCCACCCACTGAGCAGGGGCGGAAGTGAGCTGGGAGAGAGGTGCAGTGGGAGGAGACGGACCTGGCTCTGCGACCTTTCTCTACACAACATCTTGCCCTGCAGTCAGTATTCACAACAGATAGGAAGTGAGATGGGGCAGGACACAAGCCTCCGTCATTTTAAGTTCTTGTTACCCTGCCTTCTTGCAAGAGACCTGTTCAGTCTCACATCCTGTACTGTTCCCATCCCACCCCTGCATTCTTCCCCAGGTTTTAAAGCCTGCAAAAATACTTGAAAAAACTATATAGAGATGCTCACCTCCACCTACCCCCCCCCCACTCCCACCTCTAGCCCAGCTAGGAGCTAAAAAGGCCCAGCCTGCTAGGGTCTGGGCCCTCTGCCATGTGTTCAGTCCATGTGCACGCTGGCAGCTGGTCAACCTCTGCGAGTTTATTGTCTCTGAATAAATCCGGTCGGGCTGTGAGTTCGTATCCTGCCTCCTCTCTGTTCTGTGCGCTTTTCCTTGCAGCAGGCCATCACCCCTTCACCATAGTAGAAGGAGCGACCACAAGGAAACCATTGGGAAACCACCAGGGCATCAAACCCCCATTTTGTCACCAGGGCAACTGAGGCTCAGAAAGGGAAGTGACTTTCCCAAGCCCACCCGCGCTGGGGGCAGAGCCAGCTCTGCCGCCATCTCAAAGTCTTTCAGGGCCCACTGACGCTTCCTGTCTGTCTCAGGTCTGTGGGCATTGGTTGCCACTCCTCAGTGCCCCCGCCCCGGAGTCTCCGGGGAGGGGGCTCAGAGACCCCTCGCTGGCTGAGCCGCTCCCTCTGCACCTACGTCAGACCCTAAGCCGGGATTAGGGAGTTCAATAGACAGCAAGGTTTCACTCTCACAGGCAAACTGAAACCACAGCCTTTATCACACAGCAAGGGGCAGGCCAGGGCGGGCAGGAGCAGAATGAAGGAATTAGAAGGAGTTAAGAGATGCCTTAGGAGACAAAGGGGAGAGGTCAGGGGTCAGGGAGCAGGCCGGGCTGGGAGGTGGAGGGGTTTGGGTTGCCCCTTGGGGGCTAGGCCCACCCTCAGGCTACCTCAGGGTGGTGAATTTTTCCGCAGAAACAGAGGAGGCTGGACCTGCTCAGGTGCCACCACTTGTGGTGGTGACCCACCACCACTCTGCCCACCCTGGGGTGCAGGCATGCTGCTAGCCTGGTTTATGTTTCCACCCAAACCCTGGCCAGAGCTGCCTTCCTGGCCACCACGCAGTCCACCGCAGCAACAGCTGTCTGTCCAGCCTCCGACCCCACCTCCCAGGGCCCCACCCCCACTCACACACCCTGGAAGCAGAGAAAGGGGTCCGGGGTCCAGGTAGAGAGAGAGACAGACCCCCGTGCATATCCAGGCTCCAGGCTGGAGAGACAAGGGGCCCGCCGGGGCTTCCCCGCCCCGTCACTCACCAGTCAGGCGTGGGGCCCGAGCCCCTTAGGACGTCCCGGGGATTGCCCACCGATTTACGCCCAGGCTGAGTCCAGGGTGAGGCAGACGGCCGGGCCCTGCGCGGATCACGGGGCTCCGGGAGCCTCTCCGGCAACGGGGACTGCGGGAGGAAGTGAGGCCGGGAGGGGCGGCGGGCGCTGACAGTGGAGGAGCCGCAAGCACCTCCCCGCCCTGCTCGGAGCTAGCAGATTGTGGCGCCTTGGTGTTCCCCGCCTGCAGCCCACCCGGCCAGCAGCGCGGTGGGGAGTGGGGGTCAGGGCAGGCTGGCCACCAGAGACTGACCATCTGGACACTGGCCACACCCTGCTCCGCGGGAGACACGCCCCGCCCCCGCAATCCTCCCACTCCATTCCCCCCTCCCCGCCCTAACCCTGAAGCCCAGGTGGGGATTGGCGGGGGGCATCAGAGGCAGCCCCTAGATGCTGGGACCTTGTCTCTAGTGGGAGCTGGCATGGGGTGAGGGATTCTCTCCCCTCCCCACCATATATCTTCCAGCAGCCCTGAGGCTGTAACTGAGTCCTGGCTGACCCATGGGAAGAGAGAGAGCGAGAGCGAGAGTGAGAGCGAGAGCTGATGCCAGAGGCCCTCAGGGACAGGAGAGGTTATGCCCATCAGACATCCCTGGGAAACATCCCCCTCCATACCACCCAAACCCCCACCCAGACCTTTCCCCCAGTCTCCTGACCCTGGGCACCCTGATGGCTTCAGAGTTGCCCTTGTTAAAGGCAATTCCAGCACCAGCCAGCAGGTGGCGACAGGGAGGCCAGTGTGTACTAGCATAGCTGAGAATCCCTGCCTCAACGCTGGTCTGGGCTCAACTTTGGAGTTTGGGGACACAGAAACCAAGGAGCCCTAGGATGCCTCCCTGTCCCTCACCCACCCCCTAGCCCCTGTCCCGGCTCCAGATCCAGAATTTGTCTTTCTGCCTGGTCCAAGCCACTATCTACTCTCCCCGAGCCACTGCAGGCTCCTCCAAACCAGTGTTCCAGCTTCACTCTTGCCTCGCCCTCAGCCTCACAATCCATTCTCCTTACAGTAACTGAAGCAAGCTGCTAAATAGGAAAACCAGATTTCCCCACTCCTCAGCTTAAACCCACTTCCGCCCAGCCGTGGCCTTCCACAGCAGTGGGAATAAAATGCAAATTCTTTCACATGACCCAAGGTGCAGCCCAGATGTCTTTCTGCATGGCCCCACCTGCATCTTTCATTGCAACTGTCTTGCACAGCTCAGCAGCCATGGTGGCTATTATTACAGTTTAAATCAATCATAACACGAAATTAAACGTGCAATTCTACTGCCCCTCAAGCCCCGTTTAAACGCTCAAAGGACAGCACAGATATAGAACTTTCCCATCAACATACAGAATACTATTGGCCAGTCCTGCTGTAGACACGCTGAACACATTTCAGTCTCCCCAGCATGCATGCCTCTTTTGTTGTAAAAGCTGCACACACACACACACACACACAGATCTAGCCAACTCCTACTCATCTGTTGCCTGTCAGTTTAAACATTTCCTCTGGGTAGACTTTCCTATACACTGGACTAGGCTGGGGGTCCCCACGATACCATGTACGTACGTTAATCGTCTGATTCATCTTTTTTTTTCTTTTGACAGGCAGAGTGGACAGTGAGAGAGTGAGAGAGAGAAAGGTCTTCCTTTGCCGTTGGTTCACCCCCCAACGGCTGCTGCGGCCGGCGCACCGCGCTGATCCGAAGCCAGGAGCCAGGTGCTTCTCCTGGTCTCCCATGGGGTGCAGGGCCCAAGCACTTGGGCCATCCTCCACTGCACTCCTGGGCCACAGCAGAGAGCTGGACTGGAAGAGGAGCAACCAGGACAGAACCAGCGCCCCGACTGGGACTAGAATCTGGTGTGCCGGCGCCACAGGCGGAGGATTAGCCTATTGAGCCACGGCGCCGGCCCCGTCTGGTTCATCTTTAACAAAAGCAAATACTTCTTGAGAACTCACAACAATTCAGACACTGCACCAAGGCTTTACAGGTAAGTCTGAGGGCCTCTCTATTTCACAGAAGAGCAAAGTGAAGGTGGGCAAAGTTAGGACCTCATCCAAGGTCACAGGGCTGGGGAGAAAGCAAGGATTAGAATCCAGAGCCATACCTTTACCCACCATGCCCTCCAAGTAGCAAAATCTTGCTTTCCTGAGGGCATGGTGCTTCTTCTGGGGGTGATACTCAAAAGAGCTTTGAATGACAGTGTGGCTAATCATAATCGCAGTGCACGGGCAACACTGTGCTATTGGGGGAATACTGAAATGCAGTCACCACATCAAGAGACAATAACAATCAGACAACCTTTTAAAAATTTTTTTTTAGCCGGCGCAGCGGCTCACTAGGCTAATCCTCCACCTAGCGGCGCCGGCACACCGGGTTCCAGTCCCGGTTGCCCCTCTTCCAGGCCAGCTCTCTGCTGTGGCCAGGGAGTGCAGTGGAGGATGGCCCAGGTGCTTGGGCCCTGCACCCCATGGGAGACCAGGAGAAGCACCTGGATCCTGGCTCCTGCCATCGGATCAGCGCGGTGCGACGGCTGCAGCGCGCCAGCCGCGGCGGCCATTGGAGAGTGAACCAACGGCAAAAGGAAGACCTTTCTCTCTGTCTCTCTCTCTCACTGTCCACTCTGCCTGTCAAAAAAAATTTTTTTTATTTTTACTTATTTGAAAGAATTGCATGGGGCCAGGACTGTAGCACAGCGGGTAAAGCTGCTGCCTGCAGTGCCAGCATCCCATATGGGCGCCAGTTCAAGTCCCAGCTGCTCCACTTCCAATCCAGCTCTCTGCTATGGCCTTGGAAAGCAGTAGAAGATGGCCCAAGTCCTTGGGCTCCTGCACCCATGTGGGAGACCCAGAGAAAGCTCCTGGTTCTGGCTTTGGATCAGCTCAACTCTGGCCTTGGTGCCATTTTGGGGAGTGAACCAGCAGATGGAAGACCTCTCTTTGCTTCTCCTTCTCTAACTCTGTCTTTCAAACAAATAAAATAAATATTTTAAAAAACAACAAATGTACTAGAAGAGTCTAAAATTTATGCAGAATTAATATAAATTCTAGGGGCTAGTGCTGTGGCACAGTACGTTAATCCTCTGCCTGCAGCGCCAGTACCCCACATGGGCACTGGTTCAAGCCCCGGCTGCTCCACTTCCAATCCAGCTCTCTGCTATGGTCTGGGAAAGCAGTGGAAGATGGCCTAAGTCCTTGGGCCCCTGCACCCATGTGGGAGACCTGGAAGAAGCTCCTGGCTCCTGGCTTTGGATCGGTGCAGCTCTGGCTGTTGCAGCCATTTGGGGAATGAACTGGCGGATGGAAGACCTTTCTCTCTGTCTCTCTCTCTCACTGTCTATAACTCTACCTCTCAAATAAATAAAATCTTTAAAAATATATAAATTCTGAGCAGAGGTGGGAGACAGGTTCCAAGGTCTGGTGCGAACTGCTCTGGCCTTAGAAGGCAGGAAAGGAGTGACATATTTCAGGGTGCTGAGGGGTCTGGTGTGGACAAGCCAGGACCTGGACTTGCAGTCTTTTCTTCTCTTGGTACTAATGCCAAACTCTGGCCCAGAGCCAAAGCTGGGGCCATAATGGAGAGCTTCCCTGAGGCGCTGTGTCTCTGAATGATAAAAAAAAAAAAAAAAGCATTAATAAGCCAGTTTAGTAGGCTGTACCTGCTTCCTGGAGCAAAGGAGACTGAGGTTGCAGAGGAAAAAAGACCCCAGCTGGTTCTCTCAGAGGGTCCCGAAGCCAAGGGCCCCTCCCGCAGGAAAAGGGGGCCAGGTCCAGCCTCGTGGGCAGAGCCCGCCAGGCCTGGGAGCATTCCGGCTCTCAGGAGTGGGCTGCTCCCACGGAAGCCGCAGGCCACGGCTTGGACAGGCCTGGATAAAATCTCTCCCAGGACCCAGAATAGCCCTAGCCAGGCACAGGGCCAAACGTGGAAGCCCAGCCCCAAACCCCGACCCCTCTGGGGAATTTCTGTTCCCACAGCCCGGGCCCAGGGGGATGCATGGAGGACCAGGCCAGAGCTAGCTACAGAGGCAAGGAGAAAGCCGAGGCATGGGCAGAGCCGGGCCAGGCCCAGGACACGTGAGAGTCCAGACTCAGGGACCCTCCCACGCGGGCTGCGTGGGAGGCCCAGGAGGAGGGATGGCTGTGGCCCTGGCGTGGAGCAGAGAGCGCACCCGCACCCACCCCATCCCCACCCCACCCCCACCCCCACCCCCCAGCACTTCTGAGGCCCGCCGCCCGCTGGCAACCCCGGCCCCCAACCCCGAACCCCCGACCCCTCTTCAGCCGCGACCCCGACCCTGACCTCTCCCCTACCCCAGGCTCGGGTCTCCCTACTTCCCTCACCCCTATCTCTGGGCCTCCAAGCGACGCCAGCTCCTTATCCGCCCCCTCCCCTTCCGTCCCGACCCCCACATCTGGAGCACACCCGCCTCCCCGAGCCCCTCAGCTACGCCCCGCCCCCGTCAACCCCACAAAGGTCCCGAGGCGACCGGCACGATCACTTCGCTGCTTTCTCTGTGTCTCTCTTGTCTTTTTTATTTATTCGGGCCTCTCTAGATCAGTTTATAAATCGTTCTTTTTTTTTTATTGGAAAGAAGATCTCGCTGGGAAAAAAATTTCTGCCCCGCCCCCCCGGGAGGTCGGGGCCGCGAGTTCGCCGGTTGCTGTGCGTACCCGGATGTGGAAAAGGCGGGCTTGGGAGCCCGCTCCTTGGGCGCGGGCTCCGGGGTCTTTTACCCCACGCCCCTCCTCAAGTCACAGAATGGGAGGGTGTCGGGGGCCTGGGCCTCTGCGGTTCACACACACGCACACGCACACACCCCGTGAGGGAGCCAGTGGGCCTCAGAGGGGTTCACTAGACAGGTGGACCCCGTAGCACCCTCTCCTCCGGCTTGGAGGGCGCAGATAACCGAGAGTTAGCTTCATTCGGGCGAGGAGAAAACTCAGAAAGGAACCTGCTTGCCTTACATGAAGGCGCCGTGCGCGAGTGATGGCAGTGGGATTTGCACCCAGGCCCTGTAACTGTGCAGCACCATGGCCTCTTCCTTTAAATTTCCATCTCGGTCTTGATGGCTTTCTTGTTGGTTGGTTTGTTTTTAATTTCAAAGCAAAACAGATAGCGACCTCCCCTAGGGACCTCCCCTCTGCTTGTTCACTTCCCAGACGTCCCGAAACCAGGAACCAGGAACCAATCCAGTTGCCTCATGTGGAACCCAGTGACTTGAGCAGGATTCTGCAGGAACCTGGAGTCAGGAGCCACAGCTGGGAATCGAACCCAGGTACTCGGACTTCTAGGCCAAACACCCACCCTGCTTTGTTTTAAAGATTTATTTTATTTATTTGAAAAGCAGAATGACACAGAAAGAAATCTTCTATCGGCTGGACCTAGGCAGAAGGCATGAGCTTGCAACTCTGGGTCTCCCACATGGATGCAGGGGCCAATGCCCCCCGGGGCCTCTTCTGCTGCTTTCCCAGGCGCATTAGCTGGGAGCTGGATCAGAAGCAGGAGCAAGGGGACTTTTTTTTTTTTTTTTTTTAGATTTATTTATTTGAAAGTCAGAGTTAAACAGAGAGAGAAGAGGCAGAGAAAGAGAGAGAGAGAGGTCTTCCATCTGCTGGTTCACTCCCCAGCTGGCTGTAACCCGCAAAGACCAGAGTTGCGCTCTTCCAAAGCCAGGAGCTTCCTCCGGGTCTCCCAGGCAGGTGCAGGGGCCCAAGGACTTGAGCCATCTTCTACTGCTTTCCCAGGCCATTGCAGAGAGCTGGATCGGAAGAGGAGCAGCCGGGACTAGAACCGGCACCCACGTGGGATGGCAGCACTGCAGGCAGTGGCTTTACCCGCTACACCACTGTGCTGGCCACAGCAACTAGTACTTGAACTAGTGCTCATAACTTGCTGCATCACAATGGTGGCCCCTTCCTTCTATCTGTTAATATGTTACTATGCTAATTTAAAATTCTTAATCCGGGGGCCAGCACTGTGGCACAGTGGGTTAACGCTCTGGCCTGAAGTGCTGGCATCCCATATGGGTGCCGGTTCAAGACCTGGCTGCTCCACTTCTGATCCAGCTCTCTGCTACGGCCTGGGAAAGCAGTAGAAGATGGCCCAAGTCCTTGGGCCCCTGCACCCACGTGGGAGACCGGGAAGAAACTCCATGGCTCCTGGCTTTGGATCGGCACAGCTCCTGCCGTTGCGGCCATCTGGGGAGTGAACCATCAGATGGAAGACCTCTGTCTCTCTGCCTCTCTTCTCTCTGTGTAACTCTTTCAAATAAATAAATAAATCTTTAACAAAATAAAAAAAAATTCTTATTCTGAAGATAATAGTGTGTAGTTTTTCCTTTGAAAGTGGCGATCTTCTTGAAATATCATATCATTCTAGCCTGGAAATTCCTTTTTCACTGGTGGTGGTGGGATGTTTTGTGTTCCCTCAGGCAGGCACCAGTGAGCTCAGGCCATTGGGAGCTGGATGAGCCCAGAGAGAGGAAAAACATTGCTAATCACACCTCACCTCGTGGAACTCACCATGCAGAACTCACTCCTTCAAACACTGTTCCCCAGGTGGAGGTGTTGGAGACCCTCACACTGGAAAGTAGAGAGCCCCCACCGCCCCCACCTGTTGAGCTCAGCCTCTCACAAGCACAGGATGTCTGGGTGGCCCTGATTTGACTCAGGTGTCGCCAAAGCAGAGCTTTGAGC